TCAATGTTCATCAGCTCAGGATAAAGATGACGATAGTTGTGGGGCTTATAGTAGTTTCGAAAAAGAAAAACATATTCCTGTTGAATGTAACAGTCACGAATCTCACACTCCAGGTTCATTTTGCATGAAAGTCGTTCAACAAGGACCGATAGGATTTATATGTTAGTATTAATTATTATTATTATTATTATTACCAATTACTTTCTCGTAATGATAATAATAATATGTATGAGAAATTGTGGTATGACCCACATTTTTATTATTATTATTCGAATAATTATTCCTGAGGAATGGAGTCGAGACCTGGAATGAATGCTTAGAAACTTCGACAAATAAAGATTTTGTTTAAAAGTGAAATAATAATAATAATAATAATAATAATGATGAAATTTTTTAGGGGATGGTCGTTGGAGACAAGTTATAAGAAGATGTGCATCAGTTGCTGAAACAGGAGTTTCAGGTGTTTGTAATTGGGGCATATATGAAAATGGTGTTTATTGGGAAGAATGTTATTGCGCAGAAGATGGTTGCAATTCATCGACAAATATTAAAATTAATTTTTACCTAATCATCGCCAGTATTATTTGCATTTTATCGACAGTTATATCATATAACAGATAGTGTATAGTTTTTTTTTTTTATACAAATATTATCGAGTAACTACATACCTGACAAAGTGAAGAATTACGCATGACACGTGCGTTCGTCCGTGCGTGGACATCACCGTGTAACGTTTCCGTCCATAAATGTACAATTATTTCTTTTTTTGTAATCTTCGACAATAATGTCTTCCTTTAACACGAAGACAAAGCATTAATCATTTTTTTATGTATAGTAATAATAATGATAATAATATAATTAATTATAATATATTATATTTTTTTTAAATTAATTAATATAAATGTATTTATTTTAAAATAATAAAAATTTTTTTCATTTTATTAACACGAATAATTTAAACATTATTTCTCTCCTTCAAATTATTATTATTATTATTATTATTTAATAAAACATTTAAATTTAACATTATTTTCATTTATTTACTCATTATTACAAATTATTAAAAATACTAATAATAATAATAATAATCATATTTATTTATATATATATATGTATTCATTAATAAGCTTTGATCGATTATTATTACAGTGTATGTATGATTGGGTGTAAAAACTATTTAAATATACTCTTTCATTTTTATTAATTAATAATTATTAAATAATAATAATAATAATTTCTAAAACACTTTTTTATTAATAATAATAATAATAATATCATCATGATAAATTTACACATCTAAATAATGATTTTTAAACAAAAAAAAAAAAAAAACAAAATTTATTTATTTATTATTACAATTATTTACACATAACATTATTTAATAACTAATTAATAAATAAATAATTTTTTATTTTTTTATGAGCCTATATGCCGGAAACGGTTAATAAAGTTTTAATAAAAAAAAAAATCTTATGCTTCTTGTCTGTCTGTCTACTATCCACGTAAAGGCAATTATTATTATTATTATTATTATTATTTTTATGAACAACAACAGCGTTATTAACAAATAAATATAAATAAATGATAAAAAAGCCACAATAATAATGATAATAATAAATTTTTCCACATCGTTTCCTAAGTATTCAAATGTATATACATATATATATACGTGATTTAATAATAATGATAATTAATTTTTATGTATTAGTAAAAATTTACGTTTTACCTTTTTTTCTTTTTCCCCAGCAAACTATGGATTAGTTAGTAATAATGATGATGATCATCGTTTGATAACGTTTATTACGATTAAACATTAATTAATAATTAATAATAAATTTTAAAAAAAATGACAAAAAAAAAAAAAAAACTGATCACAGCGACCATTTTGATTTTTTCTTTTTTTTGAACGTAACGGTTTTTTTCCCTTTAGAATGTTCTTAATCCAAATTAGTTAAACGAAAAATTTTTGGCGACAATTTTTCCCAACTCTCCGATTCCCCCTCCCTCTGACGTTTTTTCCCAACGACCAATCAGAAATTTTTATAATTTTTTTGATTTCGGTACCTCCCCTTCCCTTCCCCCTTCTCCACCTCCTCTTGTCATTTACATCGTAATTTCCCCTACTCTCTCTTTTTCTCTCATATCTTTCCTTTAATTTTTTCTCTCCTTCTATCTCCGACTCCTTCCCACGTCACAATCAAAAGTTTTACGTATACTCAACTTCCCCTCGTCTTTCAATCTCTTCATTTCTCATCTTCTTCTAACCCATATAAATACAATTCCTCCTCTCTCTCTCTCTCTCTCACACACACACACACACGCATTCCTTTCTCCCGCCGTAAGCGAAATATATACACGTAATCGTACACCTGTGTGTTCGCCATCTTTTATTAATCCGACAAAAATTAAAATAAATCGACGCCATATTTAATCCTTAATAAAACATTCGAATTTCATTTTTTTTTTTTTTGTTTAATAAAAACGACATTAATAATAATAATAACGATAATAATGATAATAAAATTAATCGAACGCGTCACTATGTACATTTTATATTATTATTATTAATTAACCCTTAACAATTATTTATTTAAAAAAAAAAAAAAAAATATCAATAACCTGGAAATGTTTTTTTTTATAAATTCGCATAAGCTTTCGCAACCTAATTATTATTATTATTATTATTAACATTACTTTTTCCTAATCGTTTAAGTATACAAATATATATATATATATATATATATATATATATATTCGAGATAAAATTTTTTTTTTTTTTTCAAATTTATTTCGTCATCCACTATGGCGACGACGACGACGACAACGACAACAACAACTACAAACAATTATTCTATATCGATTAATTCTTCTATCAATAACGAAAAAAAAAAAAATATTTATATTTATATATACAAACGTAATTATTTGAATAATTTTTTGTTTTAAAACCGCGTAGAATTTAAAAACAAACAAACAAACAAACGAAACAACGCGCGACGAATCCTCATATCCCAAACAAACAATCAACCAACCAAACAAACCAAACCACACATCCTATCGTACGTTTTCAAATTCTTTTTACTATTATTATTATTATTAAAAAAGAAAGAATATTGCTTATAAACTCTGTAAGAAAACAATAACAAAATGTCAACAATCAACAACAAACGATAACGCAACAACAAACGGAGTGAGTGGCAATTAATTAAAAAGGAATTATTTTTTCTGTATATGCGACGTTCCCTCGACCCCATCCATACTTTTTCAATTAATAATTACATAATCTAATTAATTATCGATCGAATATATAGTCGAAAAAATATTAATAATAATAATAATAATAACGACTTTTCCTAATTTCCTCTAATTTCAAGTGAAAATTTCATTTCCTTGAAGAAAATTTTTTTTTCTCTTAATTTCAAAAAAAATTTTTATTGAATTATTGATTCTTCTCCATTTAGGTGGAGAATTTCCTTTTCGTCGAGAGTCAAATGTCATTTCCGTTTCCGCGATATCATTTTTTTTTTTTTTTTTAAACGAAAAAAAAAATTTCCTTTTACCTCTTACTTCCTCCTCCTTCTTTTTCTTTTCCTTCCTTTTCCTCTTTCCAATCTCGTCAAATCATACACACGTTTTCCATTCGTCGTCGTCGTGGTAGTAGTAATCTACTACTTGTTGTCTGTAGTCATCGTCGTCGTCGTCGTCGTCGTGGTTTTAGTCGTGACGTATTAAGAATCCATCGTCAACACCGAGAAAAGTTTATACGCGAAGCTTTTTATAACGAAATTAAAAACGTTGACTTGATGTCGTCGAGAACACGAGGATTGAATTGTAATACTGTAAGGTACGCATTTTCCAATTTCCCAATCGCTTTTCCGTCTCGACGACACGACGGCCGAATTCTATGTGGGCGCTTCCGGTTGAAAGTACCGGAGTCCGTTGATCTGAAAAAAATAATAATGAAACGCGTGCTTTATTTTTCCCGCCATTTTTTTTTTTTTGAAAATTCGAATGCATATTTTTACTCTCTAAATTTTTTTTTTTTTTTTTTAAATTATTATTTTGCATCACGTTCGGTTAATCCCTGGATGGAGACATTTTGAATATTCATTTTGCATTAAAAACCTTTTTTTTTGCTCCTTTTTTTTTTTTTTTAAAAATTTAAATTTTGTGTTCGCGAATAAAATATAACGGTTTTTTTTTTTCTTTTAAAAAGCTGACAACATTCGATAAAAATTTAAATCGTAATTTAAATCGTGATCGTTCGTTCGTTTTCGGTTCATTTCGCCGATTTTTCCAATTATTACCAACGATCGCTCTTTACCATTTTTCCATTAATCAATCATCGTCGATCGACGAGTGACGAAATACTAATCGATACATATATATCGATTGATTAGTTTTTGAATATGGATAACTTACGGACATGTCGTATTCCGTTATGTACGCTGGAATTTCCAATTGATTCGGTATTATTATGCTGTAGAGATATTCGATTCCGTCAATGTTGAAAACTTTTTCTTTGATCGCGGGAGCCATGAAAGTGGTGAACCACCAACTCACCATCTGGAAAAAAAAAAGAAAAAAAACAAAACAAAATCACCACGTCGTTCCGGCATACTTTTCGTGACGTAGAACGTGACGTCACATCCGAAAAAAACAAAATCTTACCTTAGTCCAAAACGTTGGATGAACTATGTAGAAAGCTTTCAAATTTTTTTTGTACTTGTACGGCAATATGTTGTACACTTCGCGGAGCCACGAAAATGAAGGATGATTCGCGGCCGAGGTCAAAGTGTGAAAATAAATTATGACGTAATCACTTTTGACCAAAGGATCCAATAGGTAAATTAAATACAGCAAAGCCTGGAAGAGACGCGCAAAAAAAAAACCATGAGTGAGATGAAATCTTCATCATTTCGCGACATTTCCTTCCGGTTCATCTCTCTCTCTCTCACTCACCTTGTCTAAATTAATTTCCTTAAACTTAAACCATTTTCCTACGAATATAATGACGGGCCTTCCGTAAATATCGACTCCGCATTGATACAAACAACCGATTCCCGAGACTTCAGACAAATCTTCCGTTTTTGCACGTCTGAGCAGTCTTTCGTACCTGAAAAAGAAAAATCGAAATTTGACGATTCACAATAATAATAATAATAATAATGATGATGATTCAATACGAAAATTGAACTCGAACCAAATTGAACGCGAAATAATTTTTTATTTTTATTTTTTCCAACCTTGTCGACGTCATTTCCTCGTTCGTTAATAATGATAATTAATCGTTTTTCTGTTAAATTTCATCAGGTCCCTTCCCCTTCCCCCCCACAAAAAAAAAAGAAAAACCAACAAATGACGAAATGACAAAAACAAACGACAAACATGTATATATATATAAATATATTACAAACAACAAGTTCAACAACCTTGAACCTATTATATATTATTATTATTCGCTCGAACGAAACAATTTTTTTTCTTTCTTTGGAACTTTCTAGAAATCGATGAACGAAAAAAAAAATAATAATAATAATAATAATAACTCACTCCGTAATTTCTGATTCTTCTTCTTCCATTTCTTTCATGTCCACCATTATGCTATAAGGTATGAAAGTTCGATGATCGAACGTTATACACATGTGACGGACACGCCGACAACGCGACGCACAAACGAAAAGTAAATACCAATAATAATAATAATAATACTAATAATAATAATAATAAAGTTTTTTTTTATGAATATTTACGCGTTACACACGTCGCACGTTCGTGACCCTACGGGCATTTATTTGATTAATTATTTAATTATAAATATTTACGAGCGTTTTTTTATTTTTTTACTGCGAAAAAAAACATTTTTTTTGTATTAATAATAATAATAACAATAATAATAATAATAATAATAATAATAATAAATAGTTTAAATATAAATTAAAATGATTTCATCGCGAGCACACACGACGAATCATCACGCGGGGCCCCGCATACTCATTCACGTTTAATGCGTTTTTTCTTTTTCTTTTTTTTTTTGGGGGGAAAGAATACTTTCGACAACTACAACAACAACAACAACAACTACAAACGGAAAATTTCAAAACAAACCGCGATCGATAAGATATATATATATATATAACGAAAGGTTTTTTTATTTCGAAGGTTGAATTCCGAACCCGTTACAAATGTCAAAAGCTTTTCATTTCGAACTTTCCACGCCACGTCAAAATTTTCCCTCGTGCCTTAACATTTTTTGGATACGACAGACGTTCGCACGCACTCACGCAAACAAACAAACAAACCCGTCCGTGCGTTTCCTACAATAATAATAATAATAATAATAATTCCTCCCAACCGTTTTTCAATTTTTCAATATCGCGACACGCGAGGAAAAAAACAGAGAAAGAAAGAGAGAGAGAGAAAATTTTTTTTTTTTTTTAACGAACGGAAAAATCGATTATTTCGCGACCGCGTGCGTTGTACAATAATCGTAAACTGTAAAACTCGAGTTACGAAAACCCCCCCAAAAAAAAAAACCGAACGCCACAATTTTACAATTTTTTTTTTTTATTTTTATTTATTCCACTTTACTGTCGACACGTTATAACGGAAAATGATAGGTTAGAGAGAGAAAGAAAGAGAGAGAGAGAGAGGAATTTGAATTGGATCCAACAATCGAGTAGTGATTTTAAAAAAAAAAAAAAAATCTACGTCTTATTCCTGTAGGAGAACGAACGCAAACGAACGAACAAACGAACGAACGAACGAACGAACGAACGAACGAACGTGAAAAAAAAAAATGTCAAAACCACGACGTTAAAATTCTAAAAAAACGTTTTTTTTCCCCCCACGCTACTTATTTCCACGACAAACCATCGATTAAAAATGCACACACAAACACAACACACAACACTCCCCCCGTTTTAATTTCTCCATTAACGACTCAACAATACAAATTTACACACACAAACGATACATATTTACTCTATGAAACGAAACTAATAATAATAATAATAATAACAATGATGATGATGATGATGACGTTATGAAAATATATTGTAAATTATTTTTTCTTTTACTTCGTTTTTCTTTTTCTTATTCTCCCTGAAAAAACCGTATCCCGTCTCGAACGAGGCCAAGTGTAAAATAAATCGGAAAATTCTCTCATAGACCGACCATTCAATAAAAATCCGATTGAAATTTACGTCATCACTGAATGAATTTCCATCGTCAGGGAAACTGACTACGTCAAAAAATGAAACGCGGTTGGCACAACTTTCTCCTGTTTATCATATACACATTTATAATTTTCTTCTCTTTCTATTTTCCTCCGTTTCATCTCTTCCCTCTCTCTCTCTCACTCTTTCACTCGCTCACGCTCTCTTTCTTTCTCCCCCTTTTTCTTTTCTTCTCTCTCTATTACATTAGCGGAAAATTTAAAATAAAATAAAATAAAATTTTTATTTTTTTCATTTATCTCGTATAGTAAAAATTTGTCGAACGATTTTCCGTCGTCATGTTTTCCCGTCTTGACCGATATGACAAAAAACCACTCGAATCGTCATTTTGCAACTTTTCTCCCCCCCTCTCTCTCCCACTCTTCTACTCCTCTTTTTTATCCTAAACTCTCGACTTGTATAAAAAAAAAAAAAACTAGCAAAACGCACTCGAAAAAAAATTTTTTTTCGATGAAAACGACGACATTTTTTTATGCTTGTTACGATGATGATGATGATGATAATGATAATGATGATAAACACGTACTAGTTAATGTTCGATTCTCTCGGGCTAAATCGGGACGAGAATGACGTTAGTGGAATTTTTAACAAAAAAAAAAAAAAAAATTATGAGAATCGCCTTGAAAATGGCGATTTGCGTTTTTTTTTTTTGTTTAAAAAAAAAAAAAAAAATGACGGAAAATTTAAATTCCAACTCATTTATAAAATTAATTTTTAATTTACGCGGGTTCGTCAATAATTATCCTTTTAAATCTTTCTCACCCACTCACCGCCCCCCCAAACACAAAAAAAAAAAAAACGTTCGAATCCGTTACATTTTCAAAATGATTTTTAAACAAATTAAAAACAATAAGTATATATATATAATTATTATAACTTAAAAAAAAAAAAAACCACAATTTCCGGCGCCGAAAAATGTCGAAACAATTTACAAACAAGTCGTCGGGTCGAAATTAAATTATTTCCCTCCCATCTCCCCTTGCCCCCTCCCCTCCTCCCCCGCCAAAAAAAGACAAATTCGTTTAATTTAACGAGTTTTCTATTAATTTCGACCCTTTCATCACCACTTTAATCATAATTATCACTATTATTATTATTATTATTACTACTACGCAAAATTCGAATATCAATTAACGAAACCGTTAACCGTTTCCGCTCGACGACGACGACGACGACGACGATGGAAATTTCCAGAAAGGGGGGAGAGAGAGAGAGAGAGAGAGAGAGAGAGAGAAAAACACGTAATGACACCTTTTTTGCAAAATCACCGACGATAGTTTAATTGCGTTTTATCATTATCATTATCATTTCCATTTCCATTATTATTATTATCATCAACATTATCGTTCCAGATTCGAACGTCCTCCGCAGAACAGAGAAAAAAAAATAAAAAAAACATTTTAGAACGAACGAAATTTCGACGACATTCGAGAAAAATTATAATATATTCCGCCGTATCGCTTTTGTTTAAACGAATACATTATTGTTATCGATAAAATTTGTCTTCTGCTTTTTTTTTATAACAAAACAACAACAAAATTTAATTTTACTGATTGCGAAAAGAAGGACAACAATAAATTTCGTAACGCGTTAAAATAACCTAAAAAAAAAAAAAAATATCTAGATCCCGTTCGTTTTTCCTTTTTCCCTTCCACCAAAAAAAAAAAAAATGATAATAACATTGATGATAATGATGATGATGATGATGATGATATTAACAACACTTGAAACAAATCGGACAGAATTCGAAGAAAACGAAGGAAAGGAAAAACAATTTTTTTTTTTATGGGGATTCATTCGAAACGAGAGAAGAAGAAGAAGAAGAAGAAGAAAACTGTCGGAAAATTCGATGAAAGTAGGTCGAATTTAAGGCGCCCAGGATTACGTATATATATAAATATAAATCCTTGGAAAATTTTTTTTTTCTTTTTCTTCTTCTTTTCTTTTCTTTTCCCAAACGAAACAACAACAACAACAACAACACTATTTTCCGACTCGTTATTATTTCATTATCGAAATTACACAAAAAAAAAAAAAAATCACTTTTTGAATTTTCCTTCTCTCTCTCTCTCTCTCTCTCTCTCTCTTTTTTCCCTCTTCCCCCCCCTTTGGTCGATCGATTCTAAATTGAAAAATACAAAAAAAATTTCAATCAAAATAAAAAAAATCTCTAAATACCGCCCCAACCGATATACGCGTAATTCGAAATTTTGCTCCCATCACTCACGCACGACTACGTACGTTCTCGAAAATCGACGGTTTCGCTTTCGATGTATTAATAATAATAATAATAATAATAATGAGGAAAAACTACGTCGCGATGGTTGAGATATCGGACTGAATGATAGCGTGATAACAAACTATCATCATCATCATCGCACTTATCGAAAAAAAAAAAATGGATTCGATTCACGCACTTTACGTATGTAACAATAACAACCTTAACAATAAAAACTAACAAACCGCAAACCGCAAAAATCTTCTCCTCCTTACCAAATAGTTCACAACAACAACAACCAACCAACAACCACGTTCGACAACTTGACAAAAAAAAAAAAAAAAAAAATTTTTATCGCGTTCGTAAAAAATAAAAATAAAAACTCGCGAGTTTCGCGATTCTCAACGCACACACACACGCACGTTTTATTAAAATAAAAACAAACAACGAAATAATCTTCATATATATATATATATATATATACTCGTATTTACACCCGCGAAATCCTCACGATTCTTGCTAATAATAATAATAATAATATCTATCTGTCGTAAAAAAAAAAAAAAAAACGTTCTGACGAAATCGATTCGATTATTATCGACCTTATTTTTTTTTTTATTTTATTTTAAAACTTATCGCGAAATTTAACAAGAAAATAATTAATAAAATTGTTTTAAGGTTGTCCAGTTTTTTTTTTCTTTTTTTTTCCTACTGAATTCAGTGCCGTATCTATCAAAGAGTGTAAAAATTAAACCCGAACGAAAAACGAGTATTTTATTTACTTATTTTTATATTCGACCGAGAATAAAAAAAAAAAAAATTCATAATATATATTTAAATTTTTGTTGTTGTTGTTGTTGTTGCAAAACTCGTTCGTTATTCGCAAAAATAAATAAAATTACGAAATTTATGACAAAAAAATTAAAAATTAAATTTCGCGAATTATTATTATTATTATTATTATTATTATTATTATTTTTTTTTTTTTTTTTTTTTTTTTCTAATTAAAGATGTAATCGAATGTGATCGAAATCGTTGCGAAATTTATCATTATCATCGAGACCTCCAAATTTAGAAAAAAAAAAAGTCAATTTCACGCACGTATCGAAAATTGTGACGATCATTAAATCAAATAGAAATTATTCGAAATTAGGGGGGGGAGGGGGAAACAGGAAAAAATATAATCAGAAAAACTCCGAGAAAAAGTTCGGGGGGTGAAAAAGAGAGAGAGACAAAAAATTCGCAGCGTAAAAACGTGTCAAAAAAAAAAAAAAAAAACAAAACACGTGTCAAAACAAAATAATAATAAAAATAAAAATTAGCCACCCCCTCCCTCCCCAAATTGTTCAGAATGGTAGAAATAATAATAATAATAATAATAATAATAATAATAATAAGTCAATAAAATTAAAAATTTACGAAAAAAAAAATGCAAGGAAAAAAACCGTTGCGTTGAATGACCTTGAAATATTTTCTTTTTTTTTTTTCGTCGAATCGAATTCGAAGAATCGAAGCGAAACCTGGAATGAATTTTGATATTGAAATCCATGCCAGGTTCACATTCAACGACATGTTACGACAAGCACGTGAAAATTACAACGATTTCGAATGATAACGATTTCAATAAAAATTTTTTTCGAGAATTTATCCTTAAGGAACGACCGGGGTAGAGACCTGGGATAAATGTTGAAAAAAACTCCGGGAAGAACGTGGAATTTGTCGTGTTGTTTTCCTCCAGTTCGGTTGCGTCGACACCGTATCACAACCAACTAACCGGATATTCTCACGCAAAATCATTTCGTTTACTGATACGGCCGGGAAAAATTTGGAAAAAGTGCTGAAATAAGGATGTTTCGAAATTGAAACTCTCCCGGGACGTGTGGGAAGAAACAAAGCAAGGGAAAGTTGTTTGCTGTAAAGCGATCGTACGAGAAATATGGTACCCAATAGTTCGGCTCGAATCCCGAAAAACAAAACTATCGCTATCTATCCCTCAGGATGCTACTCCCTACCGATTTTTTCGATTCCCTCAAGACGCAATCTCGATCGTCATCAACCAACCCGATTGCCAACATTTACCACATCGTTTCCAGAAACGTAATTTAAATATAAATTTCGCATTGTAAATCTTACCGTCCTTTGTGTTGCATTTCTTTTATAAGAATATCCGTAACAGGATCGTTACAGGGCCTTTCGCCCAGTAACCTCTGCTGATCGAGATCCCCTTGCATTTGACTAAAAGCGTGTTCTCCTATGTTTAAACAGCAATCATCCGTTTGAAATATGTTTAGTTCTTCGTTTCCTGAAAACATTACCGAGAACAAAATTATTAATCCGACCAAAACCAAAAAAACAAAATAATAAAAAACAGTTTTGCCAACAAAATAAAAAAAAAAAAATTTTTTTCTACAAATTTTTGAAAATCAATCAAATATCGCGCGATTCGACTTTTAATCCATCATCATTTAATCGATATAATCGCAAAATTATTAAAAAAAAAAAAATCTTTCTTCTCTCTCTCTCTCTTTCTTGTTTTCGATTGTTTGTCGGTATAAAAGAACATTTACAAATTAAAATAAAACAAAAAAAAACAAAAAACAAACAAACGTTAACAATATGGCGCGTTGCGAAGTCCGACAACTGCCGAGAATGATATTAAAAAAAATTTTTTTTTTTTTTTTTTTTTATTATTCTATACTACGCCCTTTTTCGTTTATTATGCGTTACACACACACACGCACACACCTCTGATGTGTAAGCGATGATGATGATGATGATGATGTTATTTTGTATTTAAAAATATAAACGTTTAATAACACTCCCAAAACTTTCATTCGGGATTATTATTATTTTTTTTTTTTTTATAGAAAACAAAAACAAATTTAGATAAAATCAATAATGAATTTTTACAAAAATAATGCCGATAATAATAATAATAATAATGGTAATGATGATGATAATGAAGATTTTCCTTTTTTTTTTTTAACCGACAAAAATCGTAGAGAGAGAGAAAGAGAGGGAGAGAAACGTTTTCATTTAAAAAATTGTTTTTCTTTTTTTTTCTGTTTTTTTTTTTTTTTTTTTTTGGGGGGGGGGGGAGAAGGATTTTTACCGAATGCGTGCTGTGGATTGTCAATTATCCTGATTTGTCTGTCCGGATACAGAGGTTCTCCATCTGAGCCTCCAATGTCGGTGGGTAATTGCCACCTCGCTTTGTTTTCCTCCGCTTCGGATCGGGGAAAGTAGAGAGGTAATATGACTTCGTATATTCCAAAATCCGACGAATCGACGACGAAAACGAGAGTGTCGAAAGCGTTCGGATATTTTTCCAAAAAACGTCGAACGGTACCTAAAAAAAAAAAAAAAAAAACAGAAAAAATCCGTTCGAAAATCAAATTCGTCACACGTTCTATCAACCAACAAACATTTTCAAAAATCATTTTTTCCAAATCAAATTCGAATTTTTTTGATTAATGACGTCGTCTCACGCCAATGTGGCATTTGTCACAAAAATAGCAAATTAACGCGCGACGAAAAAAAATAACGAGCATTCAAAATAATAATAATAATATATTTCTTTCAAACTAAAACTTACGTAGGGCTATGTGTGCTCCTTCGTTCGGCGGATAATTTCTCCTAACTGAATTGATCACAGATAATCCGATTGTAGATAATCTAAGCTCTTGTGCTTTTTGTAAAACGTTTCTGAAATGATTAAAATGATTAAACGTTAACTAACACATCATCCGTTCGAAAAGACAAACGAACAAACACTGGATGAGAAGAAAAAAATAAATAAATCGAAAATGAAAAAAAAACTCAGAATGAAATGGCACATGATTCAAATATAACGACGACTTTCGAAAAACCGGAAATGGATTAAAATGCACTTCGCATAACATTATTATTATTATTATTATACCGTCTTCGCCATGGTTGTCGTGTTATCCACTTGAAATTTTTATTGACTTTTCAAGATAACCTCGTCGTGGAAAAAGGGGCTTTAGGAGGGGATAATCTTTTGCAAAAAAAAAAAAAAAAAAAAATCGTGGCACGAGGGACATTGTAAAAACAACATTTAATTGGTAGTCTAGTTACCTGTCTACCTATCTACCTGACTAGCCAAATTATCGAACCTGTAAACCGTTAATGTGCCAACAAATGAAATGAATACCCTCGACCACATAACACCTCAGGCAAGTGGCAAAATTCAAATTACAAAAAGTAAATATTGTCACGTATTTGAAGCAGACGAAAAAAAAAAAAAAAAAAATCGTTAAAAATTAAAACGCAAAAAAATAAATAAATACTCGTCTTAAAAATGATTACGATTTAAGATGTCGTCTCACAACTGACAACTTTTCTAGAAAGATTTTCCACGTTTTTTTTTTTTTTTTTTTTTTTTTTCGTGGTTCTAACAACTTCCTCGACTCATTCGAAAACACACGTTTTCCTTTTTCGAAAAATTTTTCCCCGTTTCCCGAATCCTTAAAAACGCGCAATTTTAAACACACGCACACACACAAAACCGGTTTCGCGTCTACTAGTAGTATATACCCATTTACAGGTATTTTTTTAATGAAGTGGAAGACCCCGCATTGCGACACCAAACCAAAATCTTTAAAAATTCTCAAGGGCATTAATATTTTAGTGACCGTCACGACAAAGGAAAATTTTTATTCTTTTTTCTTCTTCCTCCTCCTTTAGCTTTTTGTACCCTAGGAAATGGTAAAATGTCATCATTCACGACAACGATTAGTATTATTGCTTTCGGGAATGGTAATATTAAAAACGTCATTAACAATTTTTTTTTTATTTTTCCCAAACGAAAAACGAATGCAAGTAACAACTTCCTCAATAATAAATCAATTAAAAAAAAAAATTATATTGTTTTTGTCAAGGCAAACTCACTGCAATTACGACGGTAATAAATAAATAAATAAATAAATAAATACAAACGTATAAATTTTTATGAACTTTAACCTTTTTGAAAATAATTTTAAATAAAATCCATGATAGACCTTTTCGCAGACGAAATAAGGAAATGAGAGAAGAAAATTTTTAAATGACCATCGCACTATCAAAAAAGAAAAAACTAACATCCGAGTATAACCCAGAAAAAAAAAAAAAAAAAAAAAATTTATGAAAAGGTGATGACGTCACAACACAAAAGAAAAACCGATAAATTTTATTACGGGTATTGATTTTTCAATACCGCGGCATAACTGATAAGAAAAAAAAAAAAAAAAAAAAAAAAAACAGAACAATTCGCACGACGATCGATAACTTGAAAAAAAAACCTTTAAAACTTAATTACGCCACGTTTTATAGAATGTTCGAGATAAATCCTGGTAAATTAATTTTTTTTTTCCACTACTACCTTGTTCTGTGTAAAAAAAAAAAAAAAAAATCTTCTGCTCGTTTCTACCACTGCGAAACTCAAAAAACGGAAACAGTTGCGAATTCGTACTCGATTTTCCGCCGAATTCGTACCACGACGACAATTCAAAAAAAAATGCAACCAGAACACTACAAAAGTAATAATTTTCTTTCTCCACTCCCCCACAATAATTTCGTGGCAGTAGAATGAAACGAACGGATCCTTTTTCAACGAGTACCACAGTGCAGTTCGTCTTGTGGAAAATTTCCCAATTTTTTACCTTCGACCCTAAACAAATCCGCGCGTGTGTGTGTGTGTGTGGGAGTGTAAATGTCACGGTTATTATTTTCCACGGGTTTACAAAACAACCGACTACTTTGAATGACTAATTTTTGACTAACAACAAGCTTTTAACAACAAACGCGAAACAAACAAACACAAACTGACAATATTAATCCTGTTCCATACGCAATTTTATAAGATAAGAAATAAATTTTCTCTTTCTTAAAGCTTTCTTTATGATCCTTTCAGATAAAACCTTTGAAAAAACAAAACAAACAAACAAACAAACAAAATTTTTTTTTTTTTTTCGCGAATTAAAAGAAACGTCAAATGATGATGATGATGATGATGATTAAAAAAAAAAAAATTTTTTTTAAATCCATAACTCTTACCGATTGATTACGTAACTAATAAATACAACGTTACAATTTCAAACAAACAAAGTCAAATCCCGACCACGTACGGATTCGTAATGAGGGAAATGAAAGAAAAAAAAAAAAAAGGTAAAATGGCGTCGACATCGAAAAAAAAATTTAAACGTTATTAATAACACCGGTAAACTTTCCCCCTCCCTCTCCCCACCCCAAAAAAAAAAAAAATGATTTTTTATAATTCGAATCGAATTATTTCGACAGTTGGTCAGTCAGTCAGTCAGTCAGTCAGTCACTCACTTTGCGTGCCTCGGTTAAAATAAAATGTCGAACGAACCGAAAATTATAAAGAAAAAAAAAAACCAATAAAACGAGCCACGTGAGAGAAGAAACAAAAAAAAAGAAAGAAAATTGACAAAATGACGACAAAAAAGTTTAAAAAAACCTACCACCACCACCACCACGGGTAGTAGTAGTGCTACTTACTACCCAATACCTACACTACACACCAACCCCACAACAAAAAGGGTAGTGGTGCTCTAACACTCTTCTATTATCAATCGATAACGCGAAAACTTAAAATCTCATTAATACCACATCACCACGCATATAAAACTTTTTATTTCGCATTAAAATATTTCCAAACAAACAAACAAACACAACCACTGGCACAACCGACACAACTTACTCAAATCAAGAGATCATGTTTCGTTAGTAATACAAATACATAATTGTTTTCATGCCAAAAAAAACGACATTAAAATTTTAAAAGCAACGAAACGAGGCAAATGGGCAAAGTTCAGTTGGAAAGGAGAAAAAAAAAAAAAAAAAAAAAAAAAACGCAACCCACTTGACGGGGGAAAGCAAAACAGGTACTTACTGCTTTTACGAGAAAAACAAATTCTACCAACGTAACTTTTATCATAACTACTACCATTATTATTATTATTATTATTAAAAAAAAAAACTTACCTGTAACAACCGTGCAGTGTATTTTCGGCGGCTGTGTGATATTTCGTGTTGTACTTCGGTCCGACCGTGTGTATTATTAATCGAGATGGCAATCCGTGACCCTGAGAAACTCTAACTTCTCCAGTTCGACATTCTAACAAAAAAAAAAAACACAATCAATATAAAAATCTCGTTCTCAAAAAAATTGAATAAGGTATCTATTTATTTATTAACAAATCACTTTTCGATCCTAGACAACCAACAAACAAACAAACAAACAGACAAAACTCTTTCTACAAACTCTTTCCTCTCTCTCTCTCGTAAATAAAGCATATAACGTTACAAATAAGTTTTTTTTTTTTTTTGTTTTAATTTTTACTCATTATTATTATTATTATTATTGCAAAGAGGATTTTCTTGTATTTCAACATTTTTTTCTCATTCAAAACTACGTTGACCCTCCTACTGCCACCACCACCACCGCCACTACTAATACGTTTATTCAACCTTTGAAAAACGTAAACTGACCGACAAAAAAAAATAATAATAATAATTTCACCGAAAGAAATAATTTTCTCGTACCCCCCCCCCAAAAAAAAAAAAAAAAACGTACAAATTTTCAAAATATTCCGATTTTCACTAACGTATCCGTCACTTCCGCCGTACCTGAAAATTCTAAAACCAAACCACACGCAAATGTTTTTTTTTTTTTTTTTTCTTTCAACTTTTTCTTTTTTCACGTCCGCCTACTCCCTACGAAACACAACTTCTTTTTAAAAACCTACGATCGGATTACCATAAGGAGAAATAGATAGGTACTCAAAGAGAGAGAGAGAGAGGGGGGTAGGGAGAGAGAAGGAGTAGTTTATTATGAAAACAATATTTACCATCGTGCAACGAAACCGAAATAAATCACAAAAATAAAACTAACAATTATTAATTTACGTTTTTATGGATTTTTCCACGGTCTTTATACACGTAAACAGAGGCCCCCCCCTTCACTAATGGGGAACGAGGGGGGAGCGAGAGCGGGGGGGAAACAAAACAAATAAAATTTTTTTTTTTTTTTTTTTTTTTTACTTTCGATCTGCAACAACGATAATGCTACGAATTAAATTCTTTTACCCACACGCACACGCATTTTTTTCGTAAAAAAAAATAAAAATTCGATTAGTCGAAAATATCCACGGTTGTCGTTGTTGTTGTTGTCGTTGTTGCTCGTCCCACCGATTGCAATGAATTTTTTTTTTTTTTTTTGCTTTTCTATATTCCTTCCACTTTTCCCACATTCAAGGTTTCCCTCCGATTCGTGTGTGTTCGTTTGTGTGTGTGTGTGTGTGTGCATACTCTTAATAGACACGAACACGTAAAGGCTTTTAGTAGTCTGAGAGACCAGTTTTCTTTTTTTTTTTCTTTGTTCGACGTAAGCCAATTAAGCGACAGCGCGCTCCCTCATGAGCTCCCATTATTTCTCCTTCTTCCCGTTCGCCCTTGGATTATTATTATTATTATTATTATTATTATTAGGTTAAATCACGTATCGAACGACGGAAAGGAAAAATGAATAAATAATTTTCCGAGGACGAAAAACAATTTCGAACGCAATCATAATAATAATAATAGAACTTTGTTTTTTTAAAAAAAAAAAAACCTTTTGTGTTCTTTCGAATCTTTTAGAATCGAACCTTGGAAAAACAATGTAAATGAGGTAGATAATAGTATTTAAATTATCCTAAACGTTTCTGTTAATCATTTAGTTTTAACAAAAAAAAACTCGAGAATAATAATAATGATGACGGCGATAATCAACGAATAGAAAAAAAAAAAGAAAAAAAACTTTGATTTCGTTAATTCGTTGAATTTTGAAGGATCGGAAAATAAAGAAAAGAAAAGAAAAACCGGGAAAATGGGGGGGAGGGAAAAAAGTGTAAGTAAATATAAAAGAAAAAGAAAAAAACTAAAATTTATGTTTTAACAAAAACGTTTAAATAATTAAAATTATTTAAAAGGATTTTTTTTAACGAGGAAACTTTCTCGGCACACAAAAAAAAAGGAATAAAGAAGGAAAAAGAAGGAAGAGAGAGAGAGAGAGAGATGGAAAAGAAATTTAAGCAAATAATTGAATTGAAACGAAGATAAAATTACAAGTAAAACACAAACAGTCACTAGTAAAGTAATAAGAATGAAAGACAGAAAAAAAAGTAAGGAAAAGAAGAAAGATGAAGACGAAGATGAAGACGAAGATGAAGACGAAGAAGAAGAAGATGGAAAGAGAGAGAGAGAGAGAAAAAAAAGAGAAAAAAAACAATATAGTAGACCGCCCTTTATTAACAACAAAAGTAAAAAAAAAACTTTCAGACAAAGATACATTAGATAAAATTTTTAAAAGCTCTCTTAAACATTTTTCTTCTTCTTCTTCTTCTTCTTCAACGCCACGCCATTCATAAATAAAAAATCGACCGACCGACAATTTCCCCCCCCCCTCACTTTTCGGCGAGAGAAACTAACAAACCGAATGTAAATTGTGACGTAACAATGACGTCACAATCATAACTTTTAAACCTATCAACAAATTCGACAAAGGGGAGAAAGAATAAAAAAAAAAAACAAACGAAAAAAGACAAAATCGAAAAAAAAAACAAAAAGACTTTCAATTCGACATTGACAATAATGATGATGATAACGACAACAACAAACAACAAACAACAAAAAAAACCCCATGTAAACAATCAATAAAAAAAAAATTTTTTTTTAAATTGATAATACGTTTAACGTTGAGTCTTATCACTTTCACATTTCGAAAACGTTATTTATCGTGAGACAAACGTTCAAATTTACTATTTTTCGAATTCGAATTCGAATTTTTTTTTTTTTGTTTGTTTACATTCGAATAAAATCACACCCGAGAGAAGCGTTTTGGAGAATGAAAACAAACCAAAACAAACCAAAACAAACCGTTTGTCGGTCGACCCATATTTTTATTATTCTGGTAATTAATAAATCAGGTTTCGCGACCACGCACGCGAACCGAACCCCACGTCATTTTTATAGAAAAAAAATTATTTTAAAAAACACGTTGTAAATATTATCATTATTATTATTTATTCATCGTTCGATAAATTATTTACGTAATTTTCTTTTCGCGATTTCACAAAAAAAAAATCGAACCGAACACACCAACCCAAAAAAATTTTTTTTTTTTTTTTTTTTAATTTAATGACACCGTCAACTTCTTCTTACGGCTGTAAAAAAAAACGCAAAACTGATAATCGAACGGTGAACGGATCGATATTTAACAATAATAATAATAATAATAAAACAAACAAACTCTGCGACATTTTTTTTTTTTTTTTTTTTTCAAATCCTAATTTGTCATTGAAAAAAATGAATAAAACAACAACAAGGAAACGTGTAAAACATGTGCGGGGAATACAACAGAAAAAAAAAAAATGGCGGGTTAATTTAAAATTTGCCTTGAAAAAAAAAAAAAAAAAAAAAAAAAACAAGACACAAACAATTTTTCCTTTCACGAACATCCCTTACCCTCACCCTCCCCTCTACTCCCTCTCCTTCCCCCCCACGACAATTATCATTTGTTTTTTTTTTTTCCGTTTGTCAAAATTAAACTTTAATACTTTTTGGTAAAGCACACGAAAAGTAAAATTAGAAAAGTTTTTTTTTTTTTTTTTTTTTTTTTTTTTAAACAAAAAATTTTTTCATTTCGTCATTTTAACTCTCGTAATAATGATAATGATAATAATAATTTTCCTTTCGTCTGCTTTTTTTTGTCTTTATAGATTTTTGCTTAATTTTTTTTACCTTTGATTTCGAGTCGTATATCTTCTCTAAGATCCGGTCCTGCTCTCCAGTGAATTTTATCACTTATGGGATTCTGATCGGATAATGTTTCGTTCGTCGAATGTACTATGCCGTCGACGCTCAACGAAGATATGTCACCTTCCCTAAAATAAAAAAAAAAAGACGTTAAACGTTGTTGTTATTAAATTTTTCTCCTCCCTCCCTCCCCTTTCGTCTCCCCGACATTAACAACAATAATAACAATAATAATAATAAAATGCGTCTATTATTTTTAAACGGATTTTTAAACAAAAACTTTGACTTTGTCACACGTGAGTTATAATTATTCTCATCTCCATGTAAATAATTACGTTAATGAATTAATTTCAACAAACATCGTCATTATTATTATTATTATTATTATTATCAACTTTTAGTTCGATAAGGTTACGCCCTTCGCACCCAAAAAAAAAAAAAAAAAAAAAAAAAATAATTAAACCAAATTATCAATATGAAATTATTAAATTCATGTTCATCATCATCATCATCATCATCTTTTCGTCGATTCCTTGGCATTGAGAATCGTTTACAACTAATAATTTTAATTGTGTCGTCGTTGTTATTATTATTATTATTATTATCGTACGATGACGTATTTTTATATCATCACAATAATTAATAATTAATATTTTTATCGATGCACGTTACGTTCTAATCTAATAATAACAAGAATAATAAAAATAATAAAAGGTTGAATCGTGTGTAATTTTTCGTTAAACAAACGTTATTAATTACTTGACTCATCGTCGTCGTCGTTACTGTTATTATTATTATTATTATTATTATTATTATTCTTATCATAATTATCAATATTATTTATATTTATTTTTTTTCGACGGGTAAATCCGTTGGGATCATAATATTGGGATCTACACATATCCCAAAACGTTTTTTTTCCTCTTATGCATTTCTACATAATTTCAATCCTGTAAAAATCAACAGACATTTTTTTTTTATTTTTATTTTAGAAAGAAAGAAAGAAAGAAAGAAAGAAAGAAAGAAAGAAAGAAAGAAAGAAAGAAGGAATGAATGAAACAAAGAACGAAAGAAAGGAAAAAAAATTTCGAATTCGATATCCTTACCAGAGACAAATTTTATCGTTTAATTTCGGATCGAACGGAAATGGGGATTCCTTGTGCCTCGGACTCTGTCCGGCTATGCTATAATCGGTTAAACGCCAAGCAGGAGTCGATCCCCAACGTTGCAAACAGGAAACATCCACGATGTTGTTAAAATCCGTTCCGTTTGACATATACCGCATTTTATCATTTGAGCTGGAAAACAAAAAAAATAGTAATAATAATAATAATAATAATAATAATAATAATAATAACAACAACAACAAAACAATTTAATCAATCATATTTCTTTCGTCATCGATTAATCATCATCATCATCATGATCATGTGCTGTGGAAAAATAAATAAATAAATAAATAACGAATCGAGTCGCAACATGCAACTTACATTCGACAGCAATAACAACAACAACAACAACAAACAAGTACCCGTTTGCACGGTAAGAAAATTCTTTCTCACTTTCTTTAACATGAAAAACAAACATAAATAATTTTTTGTATTTTTAAAATCAATTCATTTCGAACTTTTTCACTTTTTCCCCAAAAACAAAATGATTATCGTAATAATAATAATAATAATAATAATAATAATAATAATAATAATAATAATAATAATAATAATAATAATAATAATAATAATGATAATGATGATAATTCGATGGAAAAATAATTAAATAACTTATGACGTCTTTAAAAATGTTTACGATGGGAAAAAAGAAAAAAAAAACATTGTGACGTGTAAGGGTTAAATTTAAATTTCGTATGGATGTTTAAGTCACTTCCTTCCCTCCCCATCTCCCCATCCCGACTAAATTAAAAAAATGTCGACAATTTTTTTTTGTAAAGGGTTTCTCCCACCCCCACCCCACTCCACTTTTGGACGAAGAAGGGAAAAGACGTTCGTTTAAATTATTAACAAAAAAAAAAAAAAAAAGGAAAAAAAGGAAAAAGGTTTCTTATATATATACTTTACAACAAAAATAAACCATTTTCCTTTTATTTTTTTCCTTTGACTTTTTTATACTCTCTTTTTTCCCTTTAATTCTTTATCTCTCTCTCTCTCTCTCTCTCTTTTTTTTTTTAATGAACAAACTTTCCTCGCAATTTTCTTTTCTTTCCTATTTTTTTTTTGTTTCGGGTTGGAGAGGGGAGGAGTTGGAGGAGGAGGAGGAGGGTCTCGACACCGCAAAATTTTCGATCAAGACGAGACGAATAAAAACGAAATGACCAGAGAGGTATCGATCGTTTTTAATTTATTATTATCGATGAAATAGAAAAGAGAAAAGTCTCGATGGAAGAGGATAAAGAACGAAAGAAAGAAAACAACAGCAACAACAACAACAACAACAACAACAACAACAACAATAACAATAACAAAAAAAAAAAAAAAACTATGGCGTCATTTTAATTTCATCTTTTTTTTTTTTTTAATAAAAAAACAATCTCGTGATCGAAAGTAAAAAAAAATATTTTATTTAACTCAACAGACACCATACCTAAAAACGAACCTTAAAACCCCCTTTTCGTACGCGCACTTACACACACACACACACACACACCTAACTTCTTCCATAAGAAGTAATACTCCTACTACTTCCCTTAAAATAATTATTGATAATAGTTATAATAAGGGGGGAGGGGAAAACACATTTAAAATTTTCCAAATCCCCGCTTTAAATTATCATGTCTTTCATGAAAATTTTCCATTTTTCCTTTTTTTATAAACCTTTGACTCAAAAATAAAAAATTATTTTGTTTTCGTGTGAATTTATGCACGTGTCAGACTTCATCGAACGATTTAAGAAGACTCTCTCATAAACCTTATGCGTGTGCGTGTGCGTGTGTGTATACACATAAAAAATTTATTTATTACGTTATGCTATTTCGAAATAAGTAATTAAACAATTAACGACAGCAAAAAAATTAATTTTTTTTTTTTTTTGCTAACGGTAAATTATTATTACAAAACGTGAGTTTTTTTAAATTTCGAAATCGGTTTCCCCTTTCCCTTCCCCCCTCTCTCTTCCTATCCGCGACCCAATTTTCATTCAACTGTCAATAATTTTAATTCGTCTTCTGAACTAAAAAAAAAACAAAAAAAAAAAAAAATAGGAACGAACGAAAAAAATAAATAAATAAATAAATAAAGTAAGAAAGAAAAAAAGAAAGAATGAGAGAGAGAGAGAGAGAGAGAGAGAGAGAGAGAGAGAGAGAGAGAAAGAAATTAATTTGAAAAATTAAATTGTAATTTAACCAAAATCGAATTTAAAAAAAAAAAAAAAAAGAACAACAAAATGGATGTCAAACAAACTTTTTATCAAGCAACAACGTAACACACAACCTTTCAAGGTTTTATATATATATATGTTTCCTTTTTCCCCCTTTTCCCCTCCCCTCCCCCCCTCTCTCTCTCTCTCTCCCAACCATCCCCGACCGTTTTTAAATGTCTATTTTTGTAATTCGTTATTTAAAAAAAAAAACGAAAAAAATTAAATATATACATCGAGGTAGAAACTGATGATGAGAGAGTTTATCCGAAATAACTTTTTTGATAGAATGACGTCATAGAAAATAACGTCAGAGATTTTGGCGAAGGGGTAAAGGTGGTTTAATGACGTCATCGTCACATCACTCTCGATCGACCATTGTATTCTATTTGTCCTAAACATTACAATAAATACCTACATAATTAAATAATAACAATAAGATTTTTTTCATTCATTCGTGACGTAACAAAAATAACAATAATAATAACAATGAATTAATCGTTGATTAAAAATAATACTACAAAGTACACGTGATTCATTTAATACCTAAAAAAAATTATTTTAATAGACGATAACAACAACAGCAAAACACAAATAATAATAATAATAATAATAATAATAATAATAATAATTTTCGATTATATTCTTTTCTCTTAGCCTTTGGCACAATCAATTTGAATGTTTTGAAAATATAATGCAATCACAAATATAATTTATGAGTTTTTTTCCTCCCCTCTTTCCTCTCACCCTCCCCCTCACCCTCTTGCTTCTTCTTCCCATTTTCATCGAAAAGTCAAGTAAATGAAAAATTATAAAAATTATTATCATTATGGTAATAGTTTTTTTGTTTTTTTTCGTTAAGCTTTGGTAATTTGTTACAAAATTTAAACTTTACAAGTTATCAATGACATATTATTACAGAAAATAAAAAAACTTGATAACTGTTGCCATAATTTTTCCCATTATTAAATTATAATTAATAATTAATGACACAAACTATAATAATCAAGTATAGCATTGTTTTACTTATTATTATTATTATTTGGATTGATTTGTATATGAATCGATTGTTAAGTAATAAATTTCATATAACACTCAAATAAACTTTTGTCGTTTAATTCGATTCATTAAAATGTTTTATAAAATCACAAGACAATAAACAATATATATATTATAAAAATGATTTTTAAATATATATATATTATATTATATATAATATATTGATTCAAACTAAGATTTGATTGTCATATTGTTTGTATTCATCGATAATACTGAGATTTTTTTAATAGTTTAAACGAATAATTTTAATCTCTCGAGATAATTTATGCAATTATTAAAACCATTGAAAAAAAACTGAAATCAAATGAATGGAATTGTATTTAAATTTTCCTATTATTATTATTATTATTATTATTATTATTATTATTCTTTTAACCTGTATGTTTGATATGTGTCAAAATTATTGATTTTAAGCAATATAATTTTTTTTTTTTTAAATTAAAATGCAATCGAAAGAAAATATTTAAACTATGCGAGAAAATTTAACACTGTAATTAAACCTCTTTGATATTATTATTATTACAAATAAAAATACTCACATAAAGTAAATTTTTAAGTATGTACTTGCTAGTTTATAATAATAATACTAAATTTTCTCATTTTCTTTTTAAAAAACGATAAGTTTTATGTGATTTCAAAAACGAAAATGAATCGATTTTGTTTTTTATAACAATCACTTTGTTTGACAAAGCATTTCAATATATAATTTTTTTTATGACTAATTGATTAGTTTACCTTTTACTGACCATTTTTTATTAATAAAAAAGACAAAAATAGAACATCCATAAAAAAAAATGCATAATAATAATGATGTTATATTATTTTTGTCATTTTTTTTTTTTTTTTGGTAATAAAATATAAAAAAACAAAAATTCAATTATGGTAAGTAGTTCCTGCATATATATAGATAAATGAGAATGATTTTGTTATATTTTACCATTTTCTTAAATAAAACCCAAATTAATTTGTAAACTGAAAAGAACCTTCACAATATATGTCAAAAATTAATTTTTTATAAGAACGGTCAACTAACACAGTATTAACTGTCGTTATATTAATATTAATGTTATAATTGAATTAAAACTATGGCTTTAAACTATTATATCGAGTGGGGAAAAAATTTTAATAATCGTTACGTTAATAAAATTCAAATATAGTTACGGGTAGATGGGTAAAAGTTTAAAAAATTTTATCCAATAAACTAGCTCCTCCAATAAAAGAGAGAGAAAAAAACTGATCGACTTAAATGTAAAAGAAATTAAAGAATATATCAATAATATATAAAATTACATATGTATTTAATAACTTACATTTAATATATCACATAAATTCAGGCACGAATACACAATTTTCCAACAATCAATCACTTTACAAAATCGTTTTAATTTCTAATAAATTTTCTGCCATTGATATCAAAAAATGGCAGCATTCTGTCGAGAGGGAAAAAAAAAAAAAATCCGCAATGCTTTGATATCCGTTGATATCGTGTCAGAAGACAATAATCTAGTACGAATTAACAGTCAAAGATGGCGGGATAGCTTTTAGTCCGCAATTTTATGTAGCCGAATAAAAAATCCGGGATTAGTGAAAAACGATTATCTTAATTTATCATTTCATTATTATTATTCTTCAAAAAACTTTAAGGTATGTAGGTATTATTATTATTATTATTATTATATTTACAGTTTATTTACAAACTTTTAACGAACACAAAATTCCTTTTGATATTAAAACAACCACTTGGCTAATAACATTTGATATAAATGCCGAAATCATTTTGTAACGAGTATTCGATTGTAATAATAATAATATTAGTCATATTCTTTATAAAATCTCGACGAAAATGTAATTATAATTCACATTTCAATAATAATTCGACGTGTCACTTTCATAATTATACTTATAATAATAATTATTATTATTATTATCATTTATTGAGGTACACATGAGTCTGAGTTGATGGTAAAAAAAATAACGGTTGAAATTATTAACAATTAACAATAAATCAAATTTATAAAAGTAATACTAATCAATCGATACGATCATGAGTGAATGAGTGAATGAATGAATGAATGAATGAATGAATGCCGAATCGTTTAGATTAAATAATAAAATAACAGATTTTTTGCCATAATTCATGTGCAAATCAATCACGCTTGTTTAACTGGCCTGAAAAAATTTAACAAGAAAGCTGTGTACAAAACAAAAGCAATAACGATGGCAATAAGAATGTACATGAATAAACTCAATTCAGGAGCTCTATAACGATTTTTTCTCAACCATTCTAAAACATCTTTTCCCTTTTGAAATTCTCCTGGAAAAAAAAAAAAAAAATTAAAAGTTAATTGGGGTTGGGAAAGTATTGAAAAATATCCCCACCATAAAATTCATACCACCTCTATAAATACTGGGAAATCTTTTTCTGAAAAAAACAATTGATGGTAATTTAGTGACTCCCCATTTTCTTGCATATCTCGGATCCGCCATTTTGACAAACGTTATATCGATGTTATTTATTTCTCCATCTATTTCTTCTAATATTTCCGTTACTTTAACACTTTCCAAACTATCTAATTCATCTGAAAAATCATAATCATCATTATTATTATTATTTTGTTATAGGGATTGAAATGATGATGATGGTGAACTTACAAAAATAAACGGCTAAAAATTCATTTTCGTCAAGTAATTTATCCAACATTTTCTTATTGACTTCTTCGATTTCATTTTTATTATCGAAAACATCGAGTGACGTCAACCACGTTAATATTTTACCATAATCTAAAAGATCACCGTCGTAAATCAACGGTGCTCTTTTACGGAAATAAACTAGTGCGGGAGTGTTGGCAACATTGTATTTCGATGCCACTTCTTCATCTGATATCTTAACCATGTCTATTCCATATTGATCAGCTTCACCGTCTATTTTTTCAAGGGCGTTCAGTATTTCTTCGCAATCGGGACAATCGTCTTCATCATCTGAATCGAACAATAATAATAATAATAATAATAATAATAATAGGGTAAGTGGACAAAAAGCATTTTTTTTTCAAAAATCTCGTTATAAAATAATAATAATAATAATAGGTACACATGAAAACGGCGAGAAATGCAGATTCGTCCAACAGTCTTTCAAGCATTCTACTATTAACTTGTTCTATTTCATCAGCTAATTCTCTATTATCATCATCAATCAACCATTCTAAAACTGCTTCTTCATTTTGTAAATCACCTACGACACAAATTCATTGTTTTAAACACAAACTCTTCTTTTTCCAAAACAAACACACTAATAATGATAATAATAATAATTAAATACCTTCGTAAAGCAATGGATTACCATTTCTAAAATAAACTAATGCTGGAAATGTTTTTATACCGTATCTTTTAGCCAATGGCGGATCTTGAATTTTAACCAAATGTATTCCAAAAACATCACATTCATCATCGATATTTTCTAAACCTTCTAGAAGTTCATCACATATGTGACAATTTAATTTATCTAAATTTTTAAGAAAGGTCACGATTAGGTCGTTGGACAAAAATAAAACGGAAGTGATGTCATATTTACAAGCTAAAACTAACAGAAATAAACGGCTAAATATTGCGTTTCTTGTACCATATCTTCGAGCATGACTCTTGTTATTAATTCTATTCTATCTTCAGTCTTCTGCGTTATAAGCCATTGCAAAACTTCTTCTTCTTCCATTAAATCCCCTTCGAAAACGTTCGGTACTCCTTTTTCGAAATAAACGAGGGATGGAAATTCAATGACTCCAAATTCTTTAGCAACTTCTAAATCCTGTAAAAAACCCGGGAAAAATTCAATGAACAATCAAATTTTAAAAATGTCTTCCATTTTGTCTCCCCTTCCCCTTCCCCCTCCCCCCCTTTCCACTCACTTGTGTTTTAACAAATTGTATTCCATGTCTGTCGCAATCATCATCAATATTTTCTAATTCTTCGACTATAATTTGACATTGACCACAGTTTTCGCTAGTTAAATCATCTTGAAAAAAAAAAAAGCAATAAAATTTACAATTCGAACTTCCATTTTTTATATTTAACCATTTCTCACGATGCTTTAGACAAGACATGTTTAAACGGAAGCCATTTTTTTTTTGTCACGGTTACAAATAGTTAAAAACAAAGCAACAGTACAATTATGTAAAAAAAAAGAAATTACAATTACTATACCACCTTTATTATTATTATTATCAGTGTTGTCGTCATCATCATCATCATCATCATCATCCGTATCTTCTTTGTCATCATCGTCATCATCATCATCATCATCGTCATCTTTGATCGTTTTATTTATTTCTTTCTTTTCTGCTTCGGCTTCTTGTATTTTCCTTGCGAGGGATTTACGGTAAGTTTTAGTATTGCACAGTTGACATAAAGTTTTGTTCCCTATAGATTATTCAAGATTGGTTTTATTAACGAATAGTCGATTGATTGATTGATTGATTGATCGATTGATCGATAGTGTTTGTAGTCCCGTAAGGCAATATAAGCTTTTCACTTTGTAAATTTACGATTTTAACGATTAGTGCAACAAGGGGTGAGTTTTTATGCTCGTCGCAAGCCGAACATGCTTAACATTAAAACAAATATGGCGGTGGATTGGGCCTTGATAAAAATTAATGCAATAAGCTCGAGCTCCTACATAATATTATTATTATTATTATTATTATTACGTGTGCTGCTTTACAATTTTACACACCAAAAAAAAAAAAAAAAAAATTTTAAAGTGTTTAATTTAACTATATATAAAGAAAGGTGCCATTTTTAAATGTACAAAAAAAAAAAAAAAAGGTATTCTACGTGTGTGTGTGATGATAATAATAATAATAATAATAATAATAATAATAATGTTTAAAAAGAAAAAAAGTTTAAAAAACCTACAGAAATAAACGGCCAAATAATCAGAATCTCGAATGATTTTTTTTAAATTTTCACCATCTAATTCTTCTATCGCATCCCCCGATGGATCTTTTTGAGTTAGAAGCCATTGTAATATTTGTTCTTCGTCGTATAAATCCCCTAAAATCATTATCATCATCATCATCATCATCATCATCGTCACCATCGTCATCATCATGAATGATAGATAATAAGTTTAAATTTGATTGTTTTAATATTGCATAAAGTATTGTCGAAAGTTAGTGAGGGGGTGGGGGGAGGGAGGGGTAGCGTGATAATACCTGCATAAATGACAGGTTCTTTGGATCCCATTTTATAAAAGGCAACGGCCGGAAGTGCGAAAATTCCCATTTCCTTCGCCATTTTCTTATCGTTTATTTTAACGAATTTAATACCCGCGTTCGCTGCATCGTCGTCAATGTGTTCCAACTCCATCAAAACTCTATCGCATTGTTTACATTCGTTACTATCTGTAATAAATTATGATAGTTTTAAGAAAGATTCGCTAGGGGTAGGGAAGTAGGGGGAGGTAGGGGGAGAATGGGGAAAAACCTTACAGAAAAAAACAGCCGTGTAATCGGACGTCAATCTTATTTTATCAAACATTTTCTTATTGACTTTTTCAATGTGATCCGTCAATTCCATATTTTCCGGATGTGATAACCAATCCAACACTTCTTCCTCGTCGTCAATGTCGCCGTCGTAATTGATGGCTTTACCTTTACGAAAATACGTTATCCCCGGTGGATTTCTATACCCGTATTTCTTAGCCATGAGCAAATCGTGACATTTGACGACTCTTATACCATATTCAGCAGCTTCGTCGTCGATCAATTCAATATGTCGTAATATTTTTAAACTTTCCTCGTCGTTTTCTTTATCTTTAAACAAACAAAACAATTAACAATTATTATTATTATTATTATTATCACAATCCTTTTTTTTAAAATTTTTATTAATTTGATTACACTTACAGAAAACAACGGCGAGAAATTCTTTTCTTTCGATATATTCGAAAAGTTTCGAACGTGTTACTTCTTCTATGCTTTCATCTTCTTTTTGCTTAATCATCCAATTCAATACTTCATCTTCGTTTAATATATCACCTGTCAATAATAATAATAATAATAATAATAATAAAATTTACATTATTCATTTAAAATCACAAACGTCAGCCATGTTTTTTTTCCCCATACTTCATTTTTTACCGTTGTCATTAATAATAATAATAATAATTAAATTTTTGAAATGGTAAATCCAACAGAAAAGATACGCATATAAAACATATTGAAAACGAAATAATAATAATAATTTATTCATTTTTTTTTTTTAAACAATTTTTTTTTTTTGTAACAATTCGTTAACGTTTTATATCATACATATTTATAAATATTTATATATAATAAATAAATAAATAAATTATTGATGACGTATTTGTCAGAAACAAAAAAATAAATTAAATAAATAATAATGATAATAATTTTTTTAAAAAGTTAAAATGGCGCGCGGTGTTGTTCATTTTCGTGTATCCCGAAATTTTTTAATTTTAAAAAAAAATTACAATAATAAACAATCGAATCGTTTAAATTAATAATAATAATAATAATAATAATAATAATAATAATAAGTTGAATGATTTAAAAAACGACCGAGAAAAATCATTATTATTATTATTGTCGCGTAAAAAAAAAAAAAAAAATTTTTATTTGCTGCCAAAATTATTATTATTTTCCTGTCGAAATGCAATTTTTATGTTCGTGTGGGTGTGTGTGCGTGTGTGGGGTGTGTGCGAGTGTGTGTAGGTACGTGCGTGAGTGCGTACAAACGCACTTTTATAATCCAGATAAGCTCACTTCGTTATCCGCGTGATAGATAAATTGTTACCACCACCAAACGTATTTACCACCCCCCGCTGATCCTTTTTTCCCTTTCATTAAATTATTATTATTATTATTATTAGTGTTTCCGGTTTTTCTTAAATAATTTTTGTCTTGATGATTCGTCGATGATGAATCTTTCTTCGCGACGGATGTAGTATGATGATGATGATGATGATCTTTCGTTGCTTTTGCTACTCTTGTATCCGTCTTGACGCTCGTAGGACAGCATTTGTATGGTTCGTATGAATTTTTAGGTACCGCGGTCTTGTCTCCCAGCCCAATGATGAAACAGGTATCGCCTACAGCAACAATTCAAAAAATATATATCATGAGTAATTGTGGTAAAAGTTATTTATTTATCGCTTTTTTGCAATAACTCATTAATTTTTTTTTAATTAGTTAGTTTTTTATAAATTTTTTTTTTTTTTAATACTCATTTCCGGTTTTAATTATTATTATTATTACACATAAAAAAAAAAAAAAAAAAACGAACAGAAAATGCACACAAATTTTTTTAATTTTTTTCGTATTTTTTTGTTTTTTTTTTTTTTAATGACAAAAGCTCGATTAATAATAATAATTGATCGAATGTATTTTTTGAATGTGCTGCAGACGAAAAACTGTTAGGCTGTTGCTGCTGATGCTGTTGTGCTTGCTTGTTTACTCATGCGCATCATAACGAGACAAGACATGCAATCTCTTATCTGCAAGAAATAATTTTTTTTTTTTTTTTTTTTTTCGTTTTTTCTTCCACGTTTTCGTTCACGACGGTACCTTCCGACATTTTCTTTTTTTTCAACTCCTCGATAATAATAATATAATAATAATAATAATAATAATAATAATTGTCGTAGCGGCGCGTAATACGTTCGTTTAATCACGACAGCAAAAAAATTATTTCTTACAAATGAGAATATGACAACAGAAAAATAAATAAAAATGGCGGTCAGGGTAAAATGTAATTAATTAACGGCGATAGATAGAAAGACGACATTTTGTTTACCTGATTTACTCGTTAAACCTTTATTATCATTATCGTTATTTAAATCGTTAAATGATTTCGATATGAATTTTATTTTATCATTTTGACCTTTGACATTAATTTTCACATTTTCTCCATCGCCATCATCATCATCATCATCATCATCATCGACGACGACGGTTGTCGTCATTTTCTTGACGTTTTTTTTCCCTCCATTTGTTTTATCGTTTTTTAAACGTTTTACGTCATCATCATCATTGACGTCATCGTTTGCGGTCATTTTTTTCTCTCTTAAAAATTTCAACATCTTATACGCTTTTATTATTTTCTCAGCGCTGACTTTATCATCCTCAACGTTTTTTTTTGTTTTTAAAGGTTTAACTTTGTCATTTTTATAACAGACATTTTTTTTTTTTTTTTTATTTTTGTCTTCGCATTTCCTTCCGGTTTCGTCTTTCTCACCGCCACCCAAACCTAGATATGATATTAGAAAAAAAAAAAAAAAAAAAAAAAAGAAAAACATTGTTTTGTTTGTTTGTTTGTTTGCATACTGTTTGTTGTTGTTGTTGTTTTAAATCTCAGATATTATTAAAGTTTATATAAAAAAATGGGAAAGCGCAGCAAAATGAAAAAATGAAAAAAAAAAAACGCGCGTGAAGCAAGCTAATAAAAATCTTACTTTTCTGTTCGATTAACCATTCCAAAACTTTTTCTTCGTTCTTAAGATTACCTAAAGGCAAAAAAATTTAATTTTTTTTTCATGTTATCACACACGTTATCAGTTAATTAAATAAACAAAAAAAAAATTCCCCCCCCACCCTTTCCGTTTTTGCCCGAATGGAATTTCCGGTTGAAATTCGAACGCGATCGTTTCCTTTTTTGTTACCAACACCTGTTAATTTTATTTACAAAAAAAAAAAAATAGTATTATTATCGTCGACTGATAACGTGATCCGACGTCACACACACACACGTGGATGATTTAGAAAAATTAACGTGACACCACGTGGATGAGTGCGTGCTAATTATAACCAAATAAATTTTTTTTTTTTTCTGTTTCCAGAAGAATTTCAAAATTCGATTTTAACGATGACGTCATAAAAGGAAAAAATCGATTCAACTTACCATCGTACATGATGGGTACTCCGGTTTCGTAATAAACCAAAGCTGGAAAACTAAAAATTCCAATTTCGGATGCCAATTTACCATCGTTCGATTTAACAAATTGTATACCATGTTTTTCCGCATCGTCATCAATCGTTTCGAGCTCTTCTAAAACGGCGCTGGATTTTTTAGAATCATCATCTTTAATAAAAAGGTAAAATTAATCATTTTCGCCATATTTGATTTCATTTAAATTAATAAATTTTCCTCACAGAAAAAAACGGCCAAATGTTCGACGTCATCGATCAACATTTGCAATGTTTTCCTATCGACGTTTTCAATGACGTCTGGAGATTTATCGTGTAAATCCAATACCCATTCCAGTATGGATTCTTCGTTCATTAAATCACCATCGAAAAGGGTACGAAATTTTTTACGATAAAAACCTAAGCAGGGTAATTTTGGAAGATCGTATTCTTGTTTTATATTTTTATCGGAGATTTTAACAAAGGTAACATCTTTTTCTTCGCATTCGTCATCAATGTTTTCCAATTCGTTGATTATTTTTTGACTTTTCTTATCGTTTTCCGAATCTGTTGACAAAAAAGTTTTTCCGAATTACTTCCGGTTTACAACCATCATTTACATTTTCGAGTTGACGTTAAAAAAACTTACAGAAGAAAACAACGACCAATGGTCTTTCCGCAATAATTTTATCCAACATTTTCGTATTGACTTCTTCGATTTTACCAGGGATTTCCAACGTGTCTTCATCCGTGAGCCATGCTAATACTTCATCTTCGTCTCGAAGATCCCCTGAAAACGGTAAATTAATTGTTATTTTCGTCACTCCTTGTTCCCAATGACGTTGATAAAAGGGATTTTACCTTTGAAAAAAAGTGGGATTTTATTTCTGAAAAATGCCAATGCCGGATATGATTTAACACCGTGTTTTTTAGCCAATCCCGTATCTTCTGTCGTCACGAAAACTATACCATTTTCGTCTAATTCATCATCAATGTTTTCAAGTTCGTCTAATGTTTTGTCGCAATCTTCGTCTTCTTCGCACGGGCCACCTTTTTTTTAAAAAAAAAAACAAATTCATTATTATTATTATTATTATCAATTTCGACGTGTCACTATCGCTTTGACAAAAACTTACTGAAATACACGACGACGTATTCGTATTCGGATATTAAATTTTCTAATATTTCATCGGTTACCTCTTCTATCGTCGCCGTATTTTTTTGTTCCACGAGCCATTTTAAAACTTCATCTTCGTTAAATAAATCACCTGAGATTATGAGAAAGAAACGATTAATTTTCATAATAATAAAAGTTTGTTGTAAAAATTTTCCCCCTCAATTTTTTCTTCACAAACCTTCGTAAATGGCCGGAAGTTTATTTTCGAAATAAACAAGAGCCGGAAGATCATCGATACCAAATTCTTTTGTTTCTTTATCGTCGTCCATTTTAACAATGACGATCCCTTCTTTTTCCAAATCGTCGTCGATGTTTTCCAATTCGTTTAAAATTTTCTTATCTTGATTATCGTCTTTGTCATCTGGAAAATTATCAATGACGTGAGTTTTCATCAATTCTATTCGATTCTATCGTCGTCGTTACTTACAAAATAAAACGACCAAATACGGCGTGTTTTCCAATAGTTTATCCATCATTTCGTTTGTCACATCCGGTATTTCGCTGTGTTTCTTTTGAAAAATCAACCATTTTAACAAATCATCTTCTTTCGTTAGATCACCGTCGTAAATGTGTGGTATGCGTTTTTCGAAAAACACCAAAGTTGGTAATTCATCAATCCCGTATTCTTTAGCTTCGTCATCGTTGTCAATTTTAACGAAAGCAATATTATTACGATCGCAATCGTCGTCTATATTTTCCAATTCTTCCAAAACTTTTTTACTCTCTCTTTGATCTTTGTCATCTGGAAAAAAAACCACCACCCACCAAATCATCAAACAATCTAAAAAAAACGAATTATCAATCCCTGTCGGAAAACTGAAAAAAAACATACAAAACAAAACTGCGACGTGTGTTTTTTTCTCTATTAATATATCCAACATTTCATCGGTGACATCTTCGATTTCATCCGTTGCACGTTGATGTTCCAACCATTCGAGTACTTTTTCTTCTTCTTCTAAATTACCTTCGAATAAAAGTGGAACGCCATTTTCGAAATATAACAAAGCCGGGATTTTATCCAAACCGTATTCTCGTGCTTCTTCGTCGTTGTCTATTTTCACGAAAGCAATACCGAGTTTGTCGCATTCGTCATCAATGTTTTCAAGTTCACCCAAAACCCTTTGAGATTTTCTATCGTTATTATCATCTGAAAATGAAAATTCTCGTTTCGAACTCCATTTTCTTTCTTCTCGTGTCATTCGAAAGAAAGAAAGAAATATGTGTACTCACAAAAAAGTACGGCGACGGTTTTACCATCTTTTATTAATTTATCCAACATTTCATCGGTTACATCTTCGATTTCGTCGCTTTCCAATTGCGACACGAGCCATTCTAATATTTCATCTTCGTTTTCCAAATCTCCATCGTATAAATTCGGGATTTCTTTTTCGAAATAAACCAATGCTGGAGTTTTATCTATTCCGAATTCTTCCGCTGCTTTCGGATCGTTGATTTTAACAAATTGTATGCCGTGTTTATCGCAATCATCGTCGATTTTTTCCAATTCCGTTATTATCGTCATGGATTCTTCGTCGTCTTCGTCATCTGCGTAAAAAAAAAAAAAACCAAACAAAATTTTAAATTCTATCATCCACTATTATTATTATTAATAATCGGCTCCGAGTACGAAAGAAAATTATTTATTTATTAGTAATTAATAAAAACTTACTTACAAAAGAGAACAACTAAATTATCAATGTTATCAATTAACGTGTTTAATGTTTTGACCGTTACGTCTTCGATGACATCTTCTTCATCACCGGTTGATTTATTTTGAACGAGCCATTCCAAAACATCTTCTTCTCTCGTCAATTCATCTGAAAGAACGGGAAAAAAATGTTGGTTAGTTTTCCAAAAACCTTTTTTTTTCGAAAGAAGGTACTCGAGGTACGAGCTTACTTTCGTAAATGATGGGTATTTGATTCCTGTAGTAAACAAGTTTGGGTAATTCTCCCAAATTATATTCTTCTGCCAATTGTGCATCCATTATTTTAACGAAACCTATTCCCAATTCGTCTGCTTCGTCGTCGATGTTTTCAAGTTCTTGTAACGCTTTCGTACACCTTTTGCATTCCGGTTTCACTGCACGGATTGAACGGTTAAAAAAAAAAAAAAAACTCGTGAGAAACAATAATGATAATAATGATAAAAATTCCATTGTGACGATCAAGATCCATACAATTAAAAAAAAAAAAGAAAAAAAAAGGTGCAAGTTCTTTTTTAAGTACAAATAAGAAGAACTTTTAAATGAAAAACAAAATGGCGGTGTGGGTTTTTATCGTCCTTTTGAAAAAATTTCTTTTACCATAGGTATGTGTGGATGTGTGCGTGAGTGCGAGTTATTATTAATAATAATAATGATTTTTTTTTTTTTTAGCGGTGCTGTAACTAATGAGGTATCTATCATACGTAAAGATTTTTTCTGCTTACTTACTGGGACCTGTGCCTGTTGCCGGGCAGGTCTCCGAACTCGGACCTAAAAGTAATCATCATTCCAGTAACTATTACGTAATTAAAAAATAAAAAAAGAAAAAATGAAAATTTCAAAAGGGGGGATTTCGAATATACGAGAATCACGAATGATTCTTTTTTTTTCTCTCTCCTGGAAATAAAAATCATGTGCTGGAGAACAAAAACGAAGAAGGTAAACAAAACTTACAAAATAAAACTGCTACGTAGTCGGAATCTTCAATAATTTTTTCTAATATTTTAGCATTGACTTCTTCAATTCTATCCGGTAAATCCATGGCTTCTAAACTTGTTAAAAAATCCAAAACGTTTTCTTCGTCCATCAAATCACCTGGAATACAATAAGGGATTAATTAAAGGATTTCGTTCGTGACGTCACAAAGGTAAGACGAATATAAAACAATTTATTATCAACCTTCATAGATGATGGGTTCTTTTTCCCTGAAATAAGTGAGAGCTGGAAAATTTTTAATACCGAATTGTTTGGCCAATCTCTTGTCGTTGATTTTAACAAAATCGACTCCAAAATGATCCGTGTCATCATCTATTTTTTCTAATTCTTCTAGAACTTTATCGCACGTGTGACAACTTCTCGTGTCTGAAGAGAAAAAAAATTAACAATTTCATTCGTATTTATAACAAAAAAAAAAAAAAAGGAAAAATTTTCCGCGAGTTTAAATCCCGCGTTCCCCCTCCCCTCCCCCCCGCCTCTAAAAAATCCAGGTGAAAATTTCAACGAAATAATAATAATAATATTTTAAATTTTAAAAAAAAAAAAACCCTCGGACTCGGGATCCTAAATTTAGCCTAAAGCTCTGGCCCCTTTCTACTAATAAAAATCTGATAACCCGACACAACACATTTTTTTTTTTTAATTTTTTTTCATTGTGAGAGTTAATTAAATCATTCATTCATTCATTCATTCATTGACTGACTGACTGACTGATAACGGAGTAAATTCATAATGATCCATGTGAAAGAAAATCATTCGAGGACTTATAAGTAGACTTTTACAAGTACATTGTTTAATAAATGATTTTCAAAAACTTTTTTTTAAATTTGATATGACAAAATTTGGCACACATTACCATCATCTATCTCTCTCTCTCTCTATCTCCATCTCTCTCTCTTTCTCTCTCTCTCTCAACTTTGGCCAAAAATATTTTTTTTTAAATAAAAAAAAAAGAGAGAGAAAGAAAGAATTAATCGTATCGCGTTTTTTTTTCTTCTAAATGTTAGTCTTGAAAGCTGCGAAAATATTAAGTCGAGGAAAAACTAAACGAAAAATAAATAAATAAATTAGTAAAATATAGAAAACGTTTTATGTATTATGCGATGATAATGATAATAATAAATGAAAGGGGAAAATTTTAAATTTGGATTAAGCGTGTAAAAGTTCGAGATGATGCTTATGGGGCCCAAACAGAAAAAAAAGTTATTATTTTGTTTTTTGGGGGGAGGGGAAGAATTTTTTACTGTGTTTAATAATTCCCGGTATGAGGGGGGGGAGGGGTAAAACAAAGAAATCATTCGAAACGCTAACCTACTCTTTTTAAAAAAATTGGCAAAACAACAAAATAATTTTTTTTTTAACAAACAACACAACTAAAATAAACTCGATTTTATATTTAAGAATAAATAAATAAATAAATAAATATTTTTTATTACTCGATTTATTATCATTATTATTATTATTATTATTATTATTATTATTATTGTTGTTTTAACGTTTGGAAAATTACAATAAAATAAATTATTAATAACGTCGTCGTCGTCGTCGCCATCATCATCATCGTCGTTATTATTTTAAATAACGTTTTTTTTATTTTTTTAAATTACCGCCGCCATTTTGTTTTTTTTTTTCTTTTTGGCGTACGAAATCGATTCGAAATAAATTCATTATATATAAAAAAAAATTATTATTATTATTATTATCGATTCGATTTTCTTTTTTCAAACGATTATGAAAACGATTTTACCATTTGGAAAATTTTTTTTAATGACGTCACGACGATCACGATGAATGACTTATGGCGAATGTATTTTAATTGGAGAGGGGGGTAGAGAGTAGGCGGGGAGCACGAAATAGAAAAAAATGTGTTGTTATTATTATTATTATTAATAAAAAGGGACTCATCGTTTTTCACTATATCTCATCAATAAAAAAAAATAACAGAACACTCGCACACGCACACGCACACTCATCAGACAATTATATATATATTTTTTTTTTCTTCTAACAAAAACTTTGTTGACCAATTTTATTTATAAATTTAACACACACGGACACGCACACGCACACACACACACGCACACACAGTAGTTTATAACGTATTGCCAAATATTTCTGGCCGCCATTACATTACATTTTCATCGGATTCCACTTTTTTTTTTTTTTTTTTTTGTTATATTTTGAGGTTAAAAATTTGTTTTTAGAATTTTGAAAATTATTTTTTTTACTCACGCACACACGCACGCACACACACACACACAACATTCGTAGTCGTATTGGAAAATTTCGGGGAAATAGAAACGGTGCAAAATTTTCCCTTATTACAAAAACCACAAAAAAAAAAAAAAACCGCGTCCTAGACATTGTATTATTATCATTATCATTATCATCATCATCATCGTTATTATTAATTATTAAATTATGTAATAATTGTTAATATGTAAAAAAAATTAATAATTTATTTTTCGTTAAATTTTTTTTCCTCGTCGCCATTCGAACCTTGACACGAAAATTTTAAAAAATTTTCCTATTAATTTCGCGAGGAGGAGGAAAAATTATTAAAAAGAAGAAAATCGTTAGCAGACGAAAAAAAATTTTTTTTTTAAAACGTATCGAAATCAATTAATTTTTTCCGATCGATCGATCGATCGATTGATTGATTTATACTCGATCGAAATTTTATAGGCGTTTTTTTTTTTTTTTTTTATTTATTTTCGGATATACAAAAATAAAAAAAAAAAAAATCGAAATCGAATTCGATAGAAAAAAAAAAATTTTTTTGGCATTTGCCATCGAACTTTTTTCTAGAAAAAAAACGAGATATTTTTAAAAAAAATTTTTTTTCCGTCCCAAATTTTTTTTTTTTTTTGTAAACCGTTAAAAAAAGAAAATTATTTATTATTATTATTATTACACAACAATACATTGTCTTTATCATTATATTATATAATGAGATTATAAAAGATTTAAAATCTTTTTTTTGGAAATCTTAATCCGAGATTAAAAACGGATTAAAAAAGACAACGTATGGATTTGTGTATAACGCGACGTTTTTTTCCCCCATTTTGTCCAGTCTTTATGGAAGAAATTAATTTATTACGTCATAATCGATACACGAATCAATAAGAAGAGAGAGAGAGAGAGGGGGGGGCGGGAGAGAGAGAGAGAGAGAGAGAGATAAAAAAAATGTACTTACACCAAAACACGGCCACGTAATCCTTTTCGTTAAGTATTTTTTCTAATTGTTTTGCCGAAACTTCTTCAATAACGGGTTCTTCCTTGATCGATCCCGACGATCCTCCTCCGGGAGGTTGTCCCACGGTCCCGAGTGTCGTTTGTGTACTTTTTTTACATTCCGCTACGTTTCCTAATCCTAAAATAAGTGTTACTAATATTAATCCTCCGAATAATATCGATGATTCCATATAAATCATCCACGGCCATTTTTTTTTCCATCCAAATTTTATTTCCATCGTATTAATAATAATAATAATAACTATTATTTATATATTAAAAAAAAAAAAACTTTTATCACCATTCGACGCGATTTTTAATTTTATTAATAATAATAATAAGAGAAAAAAAAAACCGAAAAATTTAAATTAAATTTCTAATAATAATAATAATAATAATAATAAATTAATCACCACCACCACCATTCACTCACTCACTCTTATTCCCTCAATCACTCTTTTTTACCACACGCGGGAATAAAGAAAAACAAACACACGATGTTGCCTGATCCTCCTCTAACCATCACCATCGCCACCATCACCACCGCCACCACCACCACCACCGTGACAAAACGATCCCGATGGACATTTTTAGATTCTCTCCTAGGGAAAAAATAAAAAAATCGTATAAATTTTCATTTCATCACACACACACACACACACACACACACACATCCGGGAGATTCTATTCAATTTTGGACCGTAATGTCGTCGCATAGAGGTCGACACTTTACATGAGAAAAAAAAATTTTTTTTTTTTTTTCTTTTCATTTTCTTCTTCTTCGTACAACAACAACCTTCCAATACAATCCTTTTCTCTTACGTCACAAACGTTTATTTTTCCCATCATTATTATCATCTTCATAATTTCGGGGTTAAAAACCTCCTCGATGAGGGTGATTTACTGATAATAATGATAATCCCATTACGAAGGGAAAAAAATGTCGAATTTGTATTGAAACCCTCAAACACACACACACACACACGCCCCCACCTTTCGTTCGTTTTAACGTATGTATGTAAAAAAAAATCAATCAATTTACTATTACGTAATTAATTTTAAAATGTAAACATATTATTATTATTATTATTATTTCATTTCATTCTTTCGACGTAACCGTTTTAATTAAGTCGTTATTTTTTTTTATAAAGAAGGAATGGTTAACATCAACGTAAGGAAACATGAATTTTGAAAATAGAAACAACAACAACAACAGCAGAAACGATTACGATGATGATGATGATGATGATACTACAAAAAGTGGAAAATCATTAAACATAGCAGTTATCGGTGGGGGACCGGTAAGATTTAAAAAAATTTTTTTCAACGGTGTAATCAAATGAAAATTTTTTTTTTTTTCGTCTGCTACAATAATTATTTACAGGTGGGATCGTTATGTGCTTGTTATTTAGCTAATCACGGTCATAAAGTTTTCTTATACGAAGGACGAGAAGGTAAATTATTAAAAAACGTTCGAATTTGTTTAGATTTTCTTTTTGGAACTTTTCCCGCATTTTCGCACGTACGTTTTAGATATCAGAACGACGGAATTATCAAAAGGACGTTCGGTTAATTTAGCAATATCGGCAAGAGGTAGAGCGGCATTGAAAAAAATCGGTTTGGAACGTGAAATCATTTACGAACACGGTTTACCAATGATCGGTAGAATGATACATGATAAAAACGGTACGAAAAATATTATACCATATGACGAAGTCGGAAAACAGGTGAGATTAAACAGGTCCCCCCAAAACCAACCCCCCCCCTCCCCAAAAAAAAAAACCAAACGAAAAACCAAAAACAACAACTTAATCATTATTATTATTAATTTTTTTCCAGTGCATATATTCATCGAGTAGAAAATACGTTAACGAACTTTTACTCACGGGTAAATCTATCTATTAATAATAATAATAATAATAATTTTTTTCGATTCGATTAATCGAATTTTCTTTTGCGACAGCTGCCGAAAGAGAATTTAACGTTATGACGTCATTTAAAACGAAATTAATATCGTTGGATTCGAAAAAAGGAATAATGAAATTTACAAGGTAGCGTAATAATAATTAATTAATTATTATCATTTCCGGTTATTTCCATTTTTCCGTTTCCGTTTTTTTTTTCTTTTAGAACGGACACGAATGAATTTTTCGAAACAACAGCGGATGTTATAATCGGTGCCGATGGTGCTTATTCGACGGTTAGAAAAGAATTTTTAAAACATCCAATGTTTAATTATAGTCAAGAATACATAGAACACGGTTACGTCGAACTTTCCATACCGCCCGATATACACGGTCAAGTAAGAATTGCTTACGTCACGTTTTAGAAAATAAAAAAAAATCATAGAGTAATTAAACGCGATCGTTTTGTTTTTTCCTACCCCCCCTCCTCCCCCCCCGAATAGTTTTTAATGGAGCCTAATTACTTACACATTTGGCCAAGAGATACGTTCATGATGATAGCACTACCAAATCGTGATAAATCTTGGACCGTAACACTTTTCATGCCATTGAAAAATTTCCAAGAATTGAAAAAACCGGAAACGTTGTTAAAATTTTTCCAAATTAATTTTCCGGATGCTTTGAATTACATGACGGAAGATGGTTTGATTCGGGATTATTTTTCAACCGTTCCATCACATCTCGTTTCGATAAAGGTAAATTTTCTTTTTTCTTTTTATCGTACCGGAAATGAAGAAAAATATATTATTAATATTATTATTCGTTTCAGTGTAATCCGTATCATTTAAAAAATAAATTATTATTAATAGGAGATGCTGCTCATGCAATGGTACCATTTTTCGGTCAGGGAATGAATGCCGTGAGTATTTCCTTACCATCCAGTTTTGCCAACTTTTGAAATTTATTTATTTGATCCTTTTTATTATAGGGATTCGAAGATTGCGTACTTTTAGAAAATCTCGTAACCAAATATAAAAGTGATTTTAATTTTATCATGCCTGAATTTTCTAAAACAAGATGTCGTGATGCTGAAGCCATTTGCGATCTTGCCATGTATAATTACATCGAGGTGATGGATCATCTTTTTTTCTTTTTTTTTTTTTTTTTTTACTTTAATCCTCTCGGATAAATTTTCTTTTCTTTCTTTTCTTTTAGATGAGATTTTTAGTTAATAAAAAAACATTTAGACTTCGTAAAAAATTAGATAACGTTCTATATAAGATTTTTCAAAATAAATGGCTACCTTTATATAATTCCGTCACTTTCACAGATATGAATTATTCCAAATGTATTGAAAATCGTAAATTCCAGGATAAGGTAATCAATCAATCAATCATTATTATTATTATTATTTCTCTATTTTATTTGTTTTCTCTCGTGTGATTAGAATTCTAAGGATTTTAGTTAGTAGTTTAGGGATTTGGAAAATTTGTTCATTTTTTCCTTTTTTTTTCCAGGTCATCCATTGTACGACGACGATTTTAATGTTTGCAAGTTTGATTTTAATTATAATTTTCTTTTACTACAACATATAAAATAATTAAAATTTTATCCATGTGAGTTTTTAAAAAAATAAAAAATAAAAAATACAAAAAAAAATCATTTATTACGTGTGACTGCCATTTTTCTTTTTTCACCAAGTAAAATTAATTTTTTTTTTTTTTTCATATAAATTTTTATAGTTCGTGTTTGAAGATTTTTAAAATTATCCCGATTTTCTTATCCCATTCTAACATTTCCCTGGACTTTTAATTTGGACGAGTTTTTCCGACGGGGAAAAAAAAAGAAAATTCATGCGATTATCAAATCCGTATCCGGTTCTTCCAAATATTTGTGTTTTTCTTCATCAAACAATTTTATTATGTCTTCTATGAATCTTCTATGTAAACCTTCAACATCTTCTTCCGTCGGATTTTCAATTTTATCAACAGGAATGGGTTTTCCGACTGTAAAAAGAAAACGAATCGTCATCGCGAAACAAAGACAAAGTTTTTCCGCGCGTGTGTGTGTGTGTGTGTCACGCACTTACCCACGACCGTGAGCGGTAATTTACGTGGAATGAATCCTTTGTAATCGCCGAAGATTCCCTTTCCGAAAAAAATTATCGGTGCGATTCCGGTCAATTTTTTAAACCACATTTGAAATGAATTCATCCAGGGATGACCGTCAAATTTAACCTGTTTGAATATATCTATTTCTCCGAATGAAAAAACCGGAACGAGAGGAGATCTAAAAGGAAAAAAGGAAAATTGAACTTTTTCTTCTTATACGAAGTAAGTGTCACGATGTTATTTCTTAATCTTCACGAACTTTATTCTCACCCATTTTGCAAAGCGATCCTACAAAATCCTTTTCTATTTTTCAAACAAAGTTTATATTTTCCCGGTTCTGTGTAAAGTGATTCCGCAGCTCCACCCACGATGAGCGTGGCCGAATAACCTTTTTTCGGATTGCTCAATATCCAATTTAGACTTTTACGGGATGCTGCGACTCCTCCGCAAGCGAAAGCAACTTCTCTCAAAAGTGGCATTTTAAAATTCACTTTCAACGTGCATATGTGCGTTTTGATACCTTCGAATACCTTTTCGAAATTCAATGCATCCGTTCCGAAAACCAAAAGTGAACTCATTGACATGATGCCGTGTGGAAAAACGGCAAATAAATAATTTTTATCCGTTGGCAAATCGACTTGTTTCACCAATTCAACCGGAAAATAATCTTTCATGTATTTAAAAAATTTCAATTCTCTCACCCATTGAATCCTGTAAAAAACGGGAAAATTCATTAACGAATATTATTTTTCCCATTCGCCCCCCCTCCCCCCACCGACCCCTTTCTCACAACTTTATACCTTCTACCTCCTCTCTCGCAGGTATCCCTATCCAAATATATCCATATCAAATAAGCTAAAAACAGGTATCTCGCCACGATGTAATGATAAAGCAAATATGACGTCACCATTAGTAAAACAGGACCGCAAGACATCCAAATTAAAACTGATAATGTTTCCATCCATTTTCCATTCGGTAAATGTAAATGTCGTTTAGTTTTCAATAATGGTACGTTGCTTTTAATATTTTTAAGTATTCTGAAATGAAGAAAAAACGATCACAAAATATTCTAGAAAAAAAAACGTGGAAGAAGAATTCATGATAAACGTATCGTTCTTATCAGTTAAATATCTATCTATTGATTACGTCACGACGATTATTATTATTTTCTATAATATTTTCTCGACCCTTCTTTTGCAAAAAAATTTTTACTATTAATCTTAATAATACTCACACTAAAATATTACTGTTATTCTTACTTCCGCTCCTGTTTCTTCTCCTACCACCACCACCACCACCATCACCATCATCATCTATTAAATTATTCATCGAATCTATAATAATAATAATAATAATAAAATGTGTTAAGTAAATGTATCGATTAGATTTAAAACTATCAATAATAATTAATTTTTAAACGATAAAAATCAATCGATCGATCGATAGATAGATGTGTCACCTTTTAATGATCAACAACGACTCACCTTAATAATAATAATAATAATAATCACTTCGCGATTATTTTATTTATAATAAAAAGCCTAATTTTTTTTTTCTTTCCTTTTTTATCTCATGTTTCTCATTGCATTGTTCGTTTGCATTTTAATAAAATAAAAATTATACGTATTTATATATGTATATATAAAATTTCACTATTATTATTATTATTATTATTATTATTATTATTATTAACAATGAAAATTTTTTTCATTTTTTACATTTTTTTTTTTTTTATCGTTATCAAATCATCGTTATATTTCGTTTATACTACTTTCATACAACAAACGAACAACGTAACAAACAACAACAATTATATAATAATAATACTAAAAAATTCGCGTATATTTATATATATATATAATGTATATAAAAGGCACATTTAACTTTAACAAAATAAAAAAAATAAAAAAAATCTTTTGTTTGTTGTTGTTGTTGGATTTTCTTTAACAACAAACATAACAACGAAAACATAACGGAAGGAAAGAAAAAACGCGAATTATACCCACACGATAACCGTGAAAGCTAAGTACACATTTTTTTATAAAAGAACCGAAAATGACAGTTGCGACATTTTTTTTTTTACTTTTACTTTTTTTTCCACACGGTAATTATTTAAACACGACGACGATTCTGACGAAAATAAATATTTAAAAAAACTTTCTTTTTATCGATAAAGGAAATAAAAAAATATATTTTTATCCGTTACGGGGCACTCCGAGGTCGTCTGCTAATTATTCGTTTTTTTTTTTTTTTTGTATGTTCAAAAAAAAAATGTCGCACTATCTACATACATTCACGCATAATCTTTTCGTTCTTCATCTTATTTCCCTAATTATTATTATTATTATCGGTCGCGTTATTCGAGCGACAATGTCGCCAAATCATTTTACAACATTGGAAGACTTTGACAAAACGATTGGTTGTTATTTCGACTCCATATTTTTTACGATTTGTTTGTTTGTTTGTTTGTTCTTGTATCAGTCTAAATCAATATGGCGGCGTTTATATTTGAATCATTTTTCTTGAGCAAAAACGTTTTTTTTCTTTCTTTCTTTCTTTCTAAAGGAAAACTTAACAACGATTTAAATATTATAAATAAAAAAAAATTCATAACGTACAAAAAAACAATTACGTCACAAAAAAAAAAAGGAAAAACAAAACAAAAACTTAAACTAATCGATTATCAAATTCGTTTCTTTAGCATTTTCGATGTATTTGTGCTTTTCGGTTTCGAATAATTTTTCCAATGATTCGATAAATCTCGAATGAAGATCATCGATTTGTTCTTGACTCGGTTCGTCGATTCTTTCGACCTCGATCGGTTTTCCAACTGAAAAACAACAACAAAAATCAAAACCATGCGTGCGAATAAGGCGGGGGGAGGGGGAGGGGGAAAAAAGAAAATTTCTTTCTCACCGACTACGTTCAACGGTTTCTTATGAGGCATGAGTCCGAACTGACCGTGAAAAATCAACGGTGCCACACCCGTGGCTTTTTTAAATTGCATTTGAACCTTTTTCAAAAAGCTACCCTCGGAAAATGTCACTTGTTCGTAGAGGTCAGGTTCTCCAAAGGATATCGACGGTACGAGAGACGCACCGTTCTTGTACGCGATCTTGACGAATCCTTTCCTCTGTTTTAAATTTATCTTGTAGACACCGGGTTGAGAATAAAATGCTTCTTGTGCTCCTCCCACCATCAATGCGAGTGCCGTACCTTTTTTTTTCTTGTTGAAAAAATGATTCAAACAAGCGGCCGAAGCCGGAAGAGCACCTGAAATGACGCACGCACGCACAAATCAAATAATTTTCCCAAAGATTTATCATAACTTTTATGAAGAAAATTCGTTTACCTATGAGAAAACAATACTCTCGAAATATCGGAAAACTAAAATGTTGTTCGAGAGTCATTATGTTACACGTCAAACCCGGGAAAAGTTTTTCGAATCCACCGTAATGAGTTCCGAAAGCGCTGAAAGATCCCGTGCTCAATATTCCGTGTGGAAAACCGCATATGAGATAATTTTTATCAGGTGGCAAATCCGCCGTTTTATGTAGGGTCACCGGAAAATAATCGTTGTGATATTTCCAAATTTTCCATCTTCGAACCCATTCGCTGCTGTAATTATAAAAAAAAAAAATCAAAATCGATTCGATTCGATTGAAATCGATTCATCGATCGATCCATCGATCCATTGCGCGACGTCATTCGTCTCGCAAGGACGATGCCACAGGCAAACAACTTACCTTCTTCCGCCTAAAATAACGGATTTCCTGTCGTAGTACATCCAACCGAGGTACAAAAGAAACGGATACCTTGTTATAGGTACGAAAATGAACAGTATTATCAATATCGGCCACCCGAATGAAAACCACAGTATTAAAAAATTCATGTAAAAAAAAACCGTTACGTTTTGCAACCATTTCTCAAGAGTTTCGCTCCACTGTAAATCTTTTAAAAAATTCATTATTATTATTATTATTATTATTATTTGGAGGACGGTTATTAGAAAATTCTAGAATCCGACGATAACGACGACGACACCTGTAACAACATTAACAAAAAAAAAAAAAAAAAATTATAAAACGTTTGCACGACAACAACAACAACGACGTGTACAACAAACTTTAAACTACCACGAAAATATTTTTTTAAAAATAATAAAAATTTTCAAATACGTTCGAATGATACAAAACACACGCTCATACTCCTAACAAACACAAACACAAACACGGTCATACCATACAAAGTTCAAAGTTTAAATTTGAATTAAAATTTAATTTTTAACAAACACGAGTATGGATTTTCATAAGTATAATCTTATCGATTTCAATACCTATCATTCATTATCATCATTTATTATCATAATAATAATAATAATAATTTCGGTCGAGAATCTTTAACTAAAGGGAAAAACAAACAAACAAACAAACAAACCAAAATCAGGCTTGTATCGAACGAATGTTTAAAAAAAAACGGGATCGCGACGAGTTTTTTTTTTTTCATGAGTTCAACGAATATGCGTACTACTCCTTACCTCCTCTCGTTTACCTTTCAGGTATACAAATACCTAAAAAAACCTGATTATTAGTTTGATTTTTTAAACCTTCTTCTTCTCTTCTCGTTTTTTTTTTCTTATTCGTTTGTAACACGTCAATTTCAACATTTTCGTGTTGTTGTTGTTTAAGTAATAATCGTGAATCGATTAACATATTCAATTAACTCTCCTTGCATGATATTAATAATAATATTGTGCATTGTATTATAAGACTCTCTTACACAACAATCGTTTGTCTATACAAACAAACGACGATTTGTGATAAGATTGATAACAACCCAACCGTTAATCGTTTTAACATCAAATAAATTACTTACGGTAAAAAAAAAAAAATGAAACAAACAAACAAAAATTTTTTCCTTTTTTTTTTTTTTTTTTTTTTTTTTTTTTGTTTATCACTCGAACATAACCGACCGTAAAAAAAAATTAATAAATAATTTAATTAATAAATAAATAATAATAATAATTAATAAAAAAAAAAAATTTTCTCACGTGTAAATAATTTTCAACAATTATTAAAATCAAACTGTTTTTCAACGTGAATCGACACGCTTTTAATAATTTAGTTCAACAAACGACAACAACAACAACAACAACGAGGCATTAATTACAGGTGTCGTTGTCGGTTAATAGAAATATTATTTATTTATTAATAAAAAAAAAAAATTTCTTTTTTTTTTCCTGGTTAAAAAACATTAAATTAAAACAAAACAAAAATGTTTAAATTTACAAAGTGGGGGAAAGAGGGGGAGAAGGGGAAGGGAAGATAGGGAAGCAAAGGGAACTTTCCAACATGCTTTCTCCCCTCCCTCCACTCTCCCCCTATAATAAAAACAAAAACTTGGCTTTTGAATGAGACACATAAAAATTAATATATATATATATATATATATATAAATTATTTTAGTAAATTTTTTTTTTTTTAAATTTATAACAAAAAAAATTTTGTAATGGTGAACTTTCGTTTAAAACAAGTTCTAATTTTTTTTGTTAATTAAGTAAATCAAGTCAGAAATGATGATTGTTTATTATTTAAAAGGCATTGCTTACATAAAAAATTAGCATAATCATCACAATAATAATAATAATATTTATTATTATTATTTCGAATAAGTAGGAGAAAACCCAATTTCATGTGTGTATGTGTGTGTGAACCATAATCGATTCCTCATTCGATTTGGTCAATAACAAACCGAATGAGTTTAAATAATGTTATAATCATGTCAGTAACAAAACAACCAGGTATGCTTAATATTTATAACAATCGACAAACAATTTTCTAATTTTTTTTACTTCTTTTAAATTTCATTCGACATCATGATTGATTTACTTAATATAATTATAATGTCATTAATTACTTAATATAATTACTATTATTATTAATAAGATGAAAAGAAACACTTGCACACACACATTCGACAAAAAAATTATTAATGATAATAATAATTATACATACATGAAAATTATTTCAAAATCAATTTAAAATTTTTTCAAATGATGTGAAACACAAAACTTTTTTATTAGTTGTAATGGTGCAGGTGCAAATAATAATAATAATAATAAAATGTAATGAATGACATATGTTTAATAATGATTTTATTATTATTATTATTAATTGAAAAATTAAAACATGTGTATATATTTCTCACCACATTTTTTACTGTTAAACTTAAAAAAAAGAAAAAAATTGCTACTGTTAGTGTGTGTCTGTGTGAGTGTGTGCAAGTCGAAAACGTTCGAAATCCGTTAAAATTTAAAAAGGAGAAAAAAAAAGATGACGATGATTATAAAATTTAAGTTAAAATTAAATTTACTCACATTAAAAATGAATATATGTATATAAATATCAAATATTATTGAGAATAATACGATCCAATCGATGTTGTAGATATTTTGGGATCATTTTGAAAAACCGAACCACTAACTCCATCTTAATAAATTTTCGGTTGGCGGTTATCACGTGATTGTCGTCTCATACGAGTAAGAATAATAATGATAATTAAAATTCGTTAAATTTTCTTTTTCTTTTTTTTTTTGTCACGACCTTATTACTTAAAGGGTCGTAGTAATTTTAATTGTCTGTATATTTTCATTCATTAACAATTATATTCTAAAACGTCTTAAAAATTTTTAAAAAAAATCATACTTTGCACGGTATAAAATAAGAAAAAAAAAAAACCTACACGTAACGTGCCCACACGAGATATGTTTTAATATGGGTAAAAGTAAGTAATGGCGGATTCAGATGAATCGAATGAGAGAGAGAGAGAGAGAGATAGAGAGAGGTAGACAGAACATTCTGTGCAGAATAATTTCAGGAACTAATGATCAACCAAAAATGGCGATGAGTAAAAAAAATTTTCTTATAAAAAAACCAATTAACGTTTTGTTAACTTAACGTATTCACATATCATCTTACGATAAAATCACGTACAATTTTAAACAAATAAGAATAGAGTTTCGATAGGTTTAACATACGTTTCAGGTTCATTATAAAAGAAAAAAAAATGAAAAAGGTACTTTTCATTTTTTACCGTAATGGGTTATTCAAAAAATTTCAGTTCGATTTTTTTTTTTGTTTTAAGTCGACCGTTTTTTTTTTTTTTTTTAATTTTTATATTTTTTTGTGTGTGTGTGATTCAGGTAATAATTATTAATAATTTTATAAATAATTTATTGTTTTTTATTATTTGTTCGTTATTTAATTACTTACGATAAGTATCATGGTAGTTAAATAGAAAAAAAAAGGAATATTTATTCCAAGGTCGACGAACGTGATTTTTGTTATATTTGTACAAACGATTCGTATAACAAACAATTAAAAAAAAAAACGAAAAACGTTTTCAAAATGTCGTCGTCGTCATAACCGAATATTATTATTACATTCGATTATTATTTACCGTGTTAAAAACTTATTGAAAACCTCTCGAAAGCCTGTACAAAAAAAAAAAAAAATGACAAAGAACGTCGTCACGATCGAGCGACATTAGGCAAAGTGTTTCATGTCGGAATCGTAGTGTTGTAAGTAATTGTTAGTAACGGTCAAAAAAAAAATTTTCTGTTTTATTTTTGCGAATGTAAAACTGGATTAATAATCCTTTCACCTTTCGGATTATTTCCAAACGAGGTACAAAATTTATTATTATTCTTATATATATAATCTTATAAACCTTTCTTTTCTTTTCATCGTGTTTTCACGACGAAAAAAAAAGGGAGACATATTTTGTTACCCGCGCCATTTTTATCGAAAAAAAGAACGTTCGAGAACAAGCGTTTGAATTTTTGTAACGGTCGAAACTCCTTTGACGTCATAAATTTTTTTTTGTTCTTTTTTTTCACACACAATTATATCACAATCATTTTTATTAAAATAATTTATTTTACGTGCTAGAAAAAGATAATTTTGCGTGTGTGTGTGTGTGTGTAATTAATTAAAAAATTATTTAAAAAGATAAAGATAAAGATAAAAAAGTGACTTTTTTTTTTTTTTAATTGTTATCGAACGAAAAATTTTTTTGTCGACAATATGGCGTCGTTTTGAATATTTTTCAAAATGACTACCCTATTAGTAAGTAATTCGATTAATAAAAATCAATATTAATCGTTTTATTGTCGATATTTTCTTTTTATCTTTATTAAAAAAGTAAAATCTTATTTTTCAATTTGTATTCCGTATGCGTATATATAAGTATTCGATACGAATATTAATAATAATAATAATACGTTTTGCTTTTAATTCGTACGTTACGAATCGTTTTTTTTTTTTTTTTTTTTTTTTTAGGCAAATACGTAATAAAATAAGCCGCGATGTAATTTTTTTGTCTACGTAAGTTAAAAATTTTAACATGTCGAAGAACGTTTTTTAACGTATTGTTCTTTTATATATATAAAAAAAAAAAAAGAAAGGATTTTGACGTGTATACGCGAACGGTTTTTTTTTTTTTTTTAAATTTTTTTTTCTTAAAAAGGTAAAAATAATTTTTTATTTCGATTTGAAAAATAAACGCGTTAACCTTCTTGAATTGTGATTAAAAAAAAAAAAAAAAAAATTATTGCGCACATTACGAACGACAGCAGGAAACGTTAGATTACAAAACCGTTACAGGTAATTTTATTATTATTATTATTATCATCATCATCGTGATGATCGACGTAATCGTACGCCATCCATGTTTTTTTTTTTTTTTTTTCAAATGATTTCGAATTTGATTTTATCATTATTATTATTATTAACGAATAGATTTACGTTCGTATTAAATTTGAAATAATTTTTTTTTGACTATCGATAATAATAATGACGATGATTTTTTTTTCGTCAAAATAATAATAATAATAATAATAATAATAATAATAATAATAATAATCGACTCCAAAATTTTTTTTTTTTTATGTTTAAGATTGTTTTGAACTTTGAGAAATTTTTTTTTTTTTCCGTTTTTTGTTTTTGTTTCAACAAAATCCGATTCGTTTTCTTACCTGTACGCATACGTATCGAACAAACAAACAAACAAACGAGCAAACAAACAATCGTACGAAATTCAAATTTTTTTTTGTTTTTGTTTTCATTACTCTAATTCGAGTCGGTTGTAATTTATGATTTTCTCGCTGTTTGTATTTGTTTTTTGCAGATGAAATTACACGAATTAATTATTTTTTTTTTTATCAATACCGGTACCTGGGAATAATAGTAATAATAATAATAATAATAATGATAATGATAATAACTGGCACCTGTCACATCCGGAATATCCCCCTTCGAATCGTGCCTGTTGTCCGTGTGTCATATCCTGAATAATTCATCGATAACCCTCCCCCCCGACATCACCCTACCCGTTGTATATCCGCTTATTTTATTCCCTTAAGTTCCGGTTTATAATCCGTTATTATTATTATTATTATTATTATTATTATTATTATTATTATTATTTCTGAGAGATATTCGTGGATTAAATGATTTTTTAAACAATAATCTCAATAATCGACGACATTTTTTTTTTTCTACCGTTTGAAATGAGTAATTTGTAATTTTTAAAATAAACGCTAATCAATTATTTATCGATTCGCGTTAATTATTATTATTATCGTTGTTGTTGTTATAACTGTGACGTCATAACCGTTTTTTTTTTTTTTTGTAAAAAGTCGTTACGAATTTGTTTTTTTTTTTTTTTTTTTTTTTTGCGCGCGCGTGTGTGTGTGTGTGCGTGTTTGAATTATACACGAAAGAGAAAAAAATTTTTTTCGTTAGGTTTTGTTGGTTGTTGGTTGTTTTGTTTCTTTCAGTTCACTGACGTCTCTCGGTTGTTACATCATTCTATTACGATTATACCATTTGAAAAGAAATTTCTCATGGACTAGTTTTTAATAACGAATTCATTTCTCGGTTCGAAAATCAGATGTAAACGTGAGTTAGGTTCTCGATGATGATGATGATGATGGTGATGGTGATGGTGGTGGTGAAGAAGATGGTTGTAAGCCATCATTTAAATGTTTAAAACATTGTCTAAGGATTGATAAGATGTCGAAGGAAACCATGTCGGTTAACAAATTCTCAGACATTTTATTCTTTTACGAATATAACACGAAACAACCATCACCATAATCATCATCATCATCATTATCAACATGATTAACCAGAAGCGAATCATATAGAGTAGTAAAACTTGTGCCATTAAAATAATCGGCAAGACGAGACTGTAAACAATAATTGTTGATGCTGGCTAATTCCAGAACCCGAAGGAAGGATAAAGAAAGAAAAAAAAGATGGAGGAGTAGATTTTTCTTCTTTCTCTCTCTCTCTCTCTCTCTCATTCAACAACGATTTTGTTTAATAAAAAATTTATTTTTTCGAACGAGTTTTTTTCTTATTTTTATTTTTATTGTTTTTGTTGACTTTGTACAACGCTCGACAAGTTCAACATCCTTAAAAATTTCGCGGTTAAGATCATTCAAGTGTAAAGTATATCGGTTTTGTATTTCCTCTTTCATTACCGTCTAGATTTTTTTTTTGTTTTAGGGATTATTCGTATTTCATAGTGAAGTAACTATTCAGAAAGATAAATTTTTACGGTTGGTAATCAAATCCATTCTTCCGACATTGATGATGGCACGTAGTACAAATTTAAAAAACAAAAACCACCACCGGATATTCATCGATCGATCGATCGATCAGAATTATTCATTCTCCATTTTTTTTTCTTCTCGCACGTTCCATCGATCATTTCTTTCTTTTAAAATAATTAAACTCAACACACACACACACTCACACACACGTGCAGACGAAATTGATTTTTTTTTTTTCCCTACATTTGCAATTACGTAGGTTTTATTATATCTTAACGCTAATAAAATAATAATAATAATAATGGAGTGAAAGTTTAATTTTTTTTTTTTTTTACTAATTTCCGGATATCGAAAAAAAAAAAAATTTAATTTAAACGAAAGGTTTTCTTATTTTGTTTTTTTATTTTATTTTAAATTTAGAATTTTTTGTTTGTGCATGTATCGATTGTTTGTTTGTTTTTGTCGAATCCGCAACTGTGCAAAATTATTGCGTAATTAGGTTTAAAGAATTAAAATTGTTTGAATGTGAAAAAAAAAGAAAACTTTTGAAAGCTTTTGTTTGACTTCAAAAAGGTAAAAAAAAAAAATGCGAGCGTTTGTAATTTATTTTTTTTCTTTTTGCAAAGTTTGTTGTTATTATTATTATTATGGTCACTCTTGAACACGACAAAATTTTTATTTGTCGGGGTTTTTAAGCATTTATTCCAGGTTTCTACCCGATTCCTTAGGGATAAACGCTCGAATTTCGTTGGTGCTATTTATTGAGTATTTTCCGAAGAATGTGGGCCGTCCCCCATAGTGCGATTTCCTGGATGGTTTCTTCCTTTAGGTTCTTCAAAATCTTCTTTAAATTTCCTTTTATTGAATGTGGCATGGGTCCCCCTGATGCTCCCACGATGACCGGAATCGTTTCTGTTTTTACTCTCCACATTTCTATATTTCAACCTTTTGTCTGCTTCTTTGGCTGTCTGGTTGTTTTTCCCATTGGTACGAATACCTCAATTAACTTACACCATTTTTCCGCATTATGCCTGAGGATAATATCCGGTTTGTTGGCTGGCACAGTTTTATCAGTGTAGATTTGTTGATCATGCAGAATCGTGCATGGACCCACTGTCGTAACAGGGCTTGTACCATTCTATGGCTAGTTCATTCATTCCATATTTGCGACAGATGTTCCAGTGGAGATATGTACAGGTTTTATTGTGCTTTTCTAGGTATTCATGTTTTGACAATATCGGACAACCGGAAATTAAATAATCGATGGTTTCCGACTGTTCTTGGCAAATTCGATACATTTCATCTTGGCGAATTAGTATTATTATTATTTTGTGACGCGAAACGTTTTGCATACGTTTTTATAAATCGATATATATATATAAAATATAATAAAAATAAAAAGAAGAAGAAGAATAGAAAAGAACAAATGATTTTTTCGTATTGTTTTGTGAAATGAATGCCGTGTGTGGTGTTTTTAATAATAAAAAAAAATAAATAGAGAACCTTGAAAAAATTATTATTATTATTATTATTATTATTATTATTATTATTATTATTATTTTATTGATATTATTATTATTATTATTTTTTACCATTGTGCGACATCGCGTTTTTGACGCTGACGTGATGAGTAAGACGAATACATTTTTTTTTTTTTTGTTTTTGAAGTTTTTAAATGAGGAAAAAATGTTTTTACACGGTACGTGAATTTTTCTTTGTACTTTGCGACAAACTAAGACAACGCGGCGTGACGGGCAAAGAATATGTGAAATTTCTTTTTAATAATAATAATAATAATAATAATAATAATAATAATAATAATAATAATAATAATAATAATAATAATAAGTGAAAGTCATTCCAGGCACGAAACGTACATACGTACGTACAAAAAAACGATTTCGTTGTTTAATACAAAAAAAAAAATCGACTAACGAATCAAAACGAAATAATAATAATAATAATAATAATAACGGAAAAGAAAATGAGAAATCGATACGAAAATACGAAAAAGAAAAAATTTTTTTTTTTTTTTTTAATATTGGCACGATTGTAAATTACGCGAATCCTCGCGTAAAATCGATTTCATTAAATTGTTCTGCGAGGTGATTTCAAAAAAATCAACATCGTTAGGG